CACTCTCATATATATATATATATAAAATAGATATTGAGCTATTCAGTATGTTTCTCCTTTAAGAACAATAAAAAAATAAAACAGAAAGAGAGAAACCTAAACTGAAAATATCTACAGTGTTTAAATATGTAAAATAATTTAGACGTCAAAATCATAAAATTCATTCTAAGTTTTTAAAATAATTTTAATGAAGTATTTATTTTATTTCAGTATTATAATTTAGTATTATATTTAATTTCAATTATCTGACTCTTCAAATTCTGTATTTCTATTATTATTATTATTTTTTCTGTATCAATTAATTTTAGTTAGGAATAAAATATAAAGGGTAAAAAAAATTCATGTAAGAAATTATCTACGCCTATAAAAAGTTCATTCAACAATAAAAATAACATAAATATTATAACAAAATTTAATTAAACATATTAATTTTAAAGAATTTTATTAAAAGATATTCGGGGAGGCAAAGTACTTTTAATGTATGCATTACAGCCTTGAAGCGTGTGAATTATTAAATTACTCTCCTTCCAAAAAAGTCTTTCCATCACAAATTAATGGATTCTGACGGATCAATATTTTGAATGAATTCATTGGACATTTTAATGAAAATTCTGTTTTCCAAAGTCTTTCTGCAATGATGTAATTTTGTCACTAAACAATTTTCATAAAAAAAGGGACCGGTTTTTTATTTAATTTGACTCGCCACTTTTTTTGTGGACTCGCCCTACGGCGAGTGGCTATTTTCAGATCTAGTCTGCCAGGAGCATTTGATTATTTTTTTCAATTAATACGAAACCAATTATAACGCTTATTTAATAATATTTGAAAAATTACCTTATTTTATGTTTGTTTCTCAACATTTGTCTTCATTTTAGAGGAACCTTGTGATGTTTATCACTGTTTGAAACGTCATTTTCACTTTAATATCAAGTCAAAAAATTATTTTTTTAATCGTTTAAGTTTTTAAATTTTGAAAAAGTAGCCACTGTTCTAAAGGCTACAACTGGTCACTGACAAGCAACAAAATTTCCCAATTTTTCCCCCATTCAATGCATGACTGTTGAAAAATTGCATTGAGCAGGATAGCAATTTTTCAATACTCAATTAATGAGTTCTTAAATATATTATTTAATAAGTTTAACTCGACTACCGATGAATATAAGTAGGATCACTGCAAAGTGATGAATAATACAAGAAAAATGTTTTTAACGAGCACTTTAAATAACTTACTTTACTATCCGTGATTGATTAGAGAGAAAAATAACATCTTGTCTCGATTCCTGTTTTTATTAAAGAGCTAGGGTGTCGGCCATTTTGTACATATTTACTGGAGATAAAAATCTCGCAACCTACTCGAGTTTGGAGGACATGTTAATGCAAGAGTTATTTATCTCTTGAAAAAATATAAGTCGCGTCATATCTTTCTCCGGGTTTCATTTTCTTTATTTTTTTTTCTTCCTTTCACAGTTGTCAAATGAAAGTGGCATGGAAAGAAATAATAACAAATGTTTATTTTTAATATATTTATAGAAAAAAGAACTTAGCTACTATCTTTGGAGGAAAACCCACTGGATAATGTAATCGGTGTCTAAGACAAACTTTGATACTTTAATGTCGTAAAATGTTCTAGGAAATACCATAAATTAGAAAACCTGATAATGCTGAAGGGTGACGATCAAAATTGAAGTGCTATTGTCTCATAAAGTCAATGATCTCAGTATCATTTTAATAAAGGGGGCTCAAATCAAGTGTAGTATTAACGTGACTGGAAGCTTTTATTCCTTAATCAGTTTGCATTTTTTTCTTTATTTTAAACTCGTAAATTTAAAATGACCACAGGTTATAAAGCTACTATCATTTCATATCCAATTTGCACGTTGTTCTTTGTTCAGTTCTGACATCAAGCTTAAGTAATTTGCTCTTAACAGAAATTATTCAATTATTAAGTGATATTATTTAATACTACGTAATTAAAACTTTATTATTTATTTTATTTTATTTATAAATTACACTAGGGAACAAATTTTTGATCATCCTTATACAAATACTATACTATAAATACTTGATCTTCTTTATTTTATGTGTGAAGATTTGAAATCTGAAATTAATTTTACTCCTAAAACTAATTTTTTAAAATGGCATTTTTGGTCTACTTTTTGTAGAAATGTACAATTTTAAAAATGTTAGATGTAACAGAGGATAGCGTAAATGTCAGAAACTTCGAGAGGAATTAAGGCACATCATCATGAAGATTAAAATTGCGTAGGAACCCATACCCGAAAATGCCGTTGTATGCGGCAAGGGGCGCTTTCCATTTATGACCTGTTTAGCAGTACACAAAAACATAGTTCATGATTGGGAACCGCCCCCAGCAGATTCCTAAGCATTTTTGATCCTGATGGTGCGTCCCAACTCCCCTAGAAGTTTGTCACAACATTTATGCAACCTCCAGTTATATATGCTTCTTAATTTGCAAATTTATCCAAAAAAAAGAAAGATTAAAAATGGCATGAAAAAAAAAACTGAAGCTTGGAGAGAAACGGACTGCAGATTTTAAATCAGTGATGCGTAAGTGAAGATCTGAAAAGAAATTTTATGCAACAGAAGTCCAAAAAAAAAATTTGTTCTCTAGTGTTATCATTGAACTTTTTTTTTTTAAAATTGAAAGTAAGGATTTTTAAATGCATTTAAAAATAAAATAACAAACGTAAGCAAAAAGATTTTTTAAGTTTATTACTATTTCCCAAAAATAAATAGAATTAAATTTTTTTTTTTAAAAATGAGTAAAAAATTATTGAAACTATGAATCACATAAATAATGAACCGCCAAATTCGTAGCTAAACAAATAAAAAAAAGAATCAGGAAATCAAGTAATAGAGTTGATGAATTAAAAAAAAAAGAAATTCATTTTCAAACCATAGTATAAGTAAAAAATGATTCAGTGAATTGATACCAGACTATTTACTAATTCTTTTAATATTTTTCTTTCATGGATCTGATATTTCGTTGATTCTCCAAATGTTTGATTCAGTGATGAATCAATTGGTTTAACTCATGCATTGACTTACTGATTTGTTAATTAATCTTTTTTTTTTTTAATCTGCTCATTTATTGCTGCGTTTACTTGTAATAGTTAGATAATAAATACCATCATTGCTTACTAACTAAACTATGGTTACTTGTTATCATGATTATTAGTAATATTACCGTATAAGTCAACCTATTGTATTATTCGAATCCCTATTTTTGAATATGAGACCTAAAATTTTTGTCAGGTATTTAAGTCGCTGGAAAAAAAAATGATTATAAAAATTTCTAAAATTAAAAAAAAAAATATGAAGTCAACAAATTTTTTTCTCAAGTTTAAAATGTTTCACCTCTTGATATGATGCACATGACCACAAACTAAGATAAATAAACAAAAGCTGTGAGGAGACCACTTAACCAGTTTTATTCTACCGTATGTGTGCTTTCCTTATTTAAACCAACACAGACGATATTCTGAAATCTTTCTATACAGTATGCTATAATTATTTTAGATTTTTGGAAATATTCTTGAATAAATTATCTTAATTTTCCTTCTTACTTTTTATTCTAAATGTATTAAAGTATTGCTTCCAAGAAAAAACATTAAATTGAACAGAAAATATAAAAGAAAAATGCAAAATTAACTGTATATAACATATTAAAAATAGATTTTGAAAGGGGTATATTGATAGTCATTCATATATATTGTTATGCATTGATATTTTTCAATCGACAAATGTCCATTTTAATAACAAGTGTTTAAGTCAACTACCTGATTTTCATAAAATTTTGGAGGTTTGAAAAATCGACTTATACACCAGAATATACGAAAATTTTTGTAGATGTGAAATAATCATGACAACTTATTAATATTGCTTAAGATTACTTGCAATTAAGATCACTCATTACAATAACAACGCTGGACATTAAGCTTTTATAATGAAGTTTTGATTTCAATATTTTTTCAATACTTATTTGAAACATGTGAACAATGTTTTTTTTTTTTACAATTAACTTTGCCCAGCATGAAGCTTCAGAAATATTTTTTTTTAAATGTTAACTTAACATTACATACCTGCCAACATTGGAGAAATAAAATAGCGACATTTTTTAGGCTACGAGTAAAGTTTTGATACATCATACATAATCATGTAAGTCAAAAAGAGAAATTCTAAATTGGAAATAATATAATAAAAAAGTAAGTAAAAAATATGTAAGTAAGTAAAAAATATGTAAATACATCTTTAATCTAAAGATTTTTTTAAACCATTATTTATAATTACTCGAACTATTAACACTTAACATACTGCAGTGCTGGCTATAGCACTATTTTTGCCATCAGCAAATATTTTATCACCAAAATTTTTTTTTAAAAAATTTCTTCAACAAATACAGAAAAATTTGAGAATATACAGGTAAATAGGAGATGGTGTAAAATACAGGAGTCTTTGTTAAAAATCAAGAGGTTTGGCAGGTATGACATTACACTTACAAATTTAATTGTAATAAAATATACTATTAAAAAATTAGCACAATAAAATATAAATTGCATTTAAAACTATATTTTTTATTCGATAATTTCAGTTTAAGTTAAACCACTTTTCTGTTAGTTGTTTAAAAATGTCATTATTGGAGCTCTAAATTAGAGCATTCTTACATAGAGAAAATGTGATAAATTAACATTCTGCTTAAAACATGATTTGACGTATACCATTTTTAATATTCGATGATTACTGAATTGTTAATTAGTCTAAAATAAAAATTTCCACCGTCTTCCTCAATTTTAAAATAAATCAGCAATGTTTTTTATACAAAAAATTTAATTTTATTAAATACACATAAAGTACAAGTCAAACAAAATTAAAATATACAAATATATTTAAGCACAGTGTTGGCAACAAAAGAGATGTCTAGCTGCATGATTCAGTCTTCTAAAATAGTACAGACTTCTGTACATATATTCAACAAGTTTTTATTTTATAAAGTCTCTGTCATGCTAACTTGTAAACAATTTAAAGAAGATGCCTATCAATTTTTCAATGCTTGATTTTTGCAATATGTTTCAGCCTATGAAAAAAAAAATTAAATTAATAATATTAGCAACAACAATTGCATTCATTTTTAAATCATTAAAAGAAAAATTACAATGATCAAGAGATTTTAAGGACAGAAAAAGGATTTTACTTCGGCCACGTTAACCAATGAAGAATTACAAGTGCAGAATTTATTTATATATTCAGCAACTAATTTTTATTGCATTTTTTTTCCATTAAAATGTCTTTTATTATAACTTAGTTACCAGCTAAGTTTTTAATTTTAAGGTTAATATTTTTCAAAATACTTACAACCTAAACATTTAAAATTTGGTAACTAAGTTTTAAAGATAAAAAAAGTGAAAAAAATTATACAAAAATATTAGTAACTGAATAAATGAGGAATTTCGTACATAATAATTATTGGTAGGTTAACATGGAGAAAGTAAAACTTTTTTTCTGACTTAAGAGGACCTTTAAGTAATGGGCATAAATCAAAATGGCCCTTCTCTTCTTTACTAATTGCCTAAATTTTATTTAAAAATAATAAAAAAAAATTTTATAATACACCACTCTCTGTTTGTAGCCCTCAGAGGCATAAAGACTTAGATGCACACTCCTACAAAATTTATAAATGTGCCTATTTAAGACTTAACACAATTTCTTTTAAATGATGATGAGACAACACTATAAAGAGACATTCGGATGTTTCATATAATATTAACAAATGCGATGGAAAGGCTTACAATAATTATATTCAAAATTCAGATAAAGGTTATTTTTACCTGTAAAGTGAATTTTAAAAAATATCTTATCACAGAAAAAATATTTTTATTGAAATTCGTATAATAGGGGAGCACAACCTTAAAGGAATGTAAGTCTGTATGCCCAAGTATTTAGACATGCTGAAGGCAATTATAATAAGTTTAATGTAATCATTAGTGTTTCAGACAAGATTCTTATCAGTTAACTTAGTAATATATTTTCATAAGATTAAATTATTTTAAATATTTATTTAAAACTGAAAAAAACCAAATTGATACTTTTCAAAATAAAACTATACATATCTTTTATTAAAAAATAGAATGACAGGGGAAAATTGCATCACGTAACACATCAATGCATTATCAATAATGTTTTTGAATGAAAGTGGAAGAATCACACGGAAATTCAAAAACATGATTGAAAAGTAACTCTGATTAACTATGAAATGGATTAAAACAAAGAGCTTCAAAAGGGGTTACAATTGTTTGAAAATTCAAGCATCATAATTTTATTGTATTAAAAATATTGTGATTTTTTAAAATTTTCAGCAATAACAACAGAAAACCTATTTCGTAATGTTTCAGAGAAACCTTTTTTTTTTCTTTATTAAAATATGGGTTGATAAAAGAAGTTTTCGATTGTCAAAGTCTTAATTCGATTTTCAATTGAAGCACTCCATGAAGGCAAATGTCTCCCAATACTTGATCCAGGAGTTAACTTGTCTTCTGGATTAGGTTCATATTTACTAAGTTACAGAATAGAGCATTGGTAGCCGTAAATCCAAAATTGGGTCGGCTAGACCAAACTTAGTCTACACAAGCAAAGATTTATTTATTCTAAAGATTAGATTTCGAAAATGATTACCTTGCAAGCAGCTGCATGAGCTGAGGATTTGCACCAATAGGATGGACCAAAAGTGCATTTGCTACCACCAATCAAATGGACGCTGGTGGGTGAACGTGCACACAAATCAATATCCTAAAAATAACAACAATTATCAATAAATATATAGAATAAATAATAAAAAAACTGATACGTGAAAATTATAATAAAATACACTTCCACAACATTATATTTACCTATTGTGTTTTATTTTATATATAATATTATATTATTTATATATGTATATAATATTAGCTTATAATATTTTTTATTCATTAATTTAGTAATATTTTATTCAAAGTATATTTTTTATGAAATGTTAAAATTTTTTTTTTGTAGTTTCAAATAATGGACAAACAAAAGTAAATCCATATTAGGGTGTCTCAAAACACACTTCTATTCAGGTCAAATTGTTCTATATTCATTAAATTTTGAAATAACTGTTACATTCTAAAATAACAAACTAAAGAAAAGGAACTTCTGAACATTTTGTTTTTATCTTGCAATCAACATAGTAAATAAAAATGACCCAAAGAAAAAAAATTCATAAAAAAATTCTCTGTAGGAAATTAAAGTAGTTCATTGTTTTAAACATAATAAAACAAAATTATACTTTTCATAAATTTATATCACTCAACGATTTATTTCAAGAATATTTATAAAACAAAAATTTTACATTAATAAAAAATTATTATTACACACTATATTAAAACTCACTTCACCTAAATCAAAATATTTTTCACCTCATATATTATAGTATTTAATTGCATCGATCTAATCTCAACAAAAAAATGCTGATCAAACTATATCTAGAATTCTCTCTTTCCAGGGTATACTGCTACATTTTAGATTTTCAAATTCATGACTTAACGAAGTTACTATTTTCTTTGACAAAAACACAACAATAAAGTTAAAAAAGCATTAGAATAACATTAATTGAAATGATAGGTGTAACCAAAACTGTTATACTTTGCATCTTCAATTTATAGATTTTAAATTTCAAAAACAGAGTAAAGAAAGAGTTGGAGCAATAAAATAGCTGAAAAAAATACAAAAGCAAATATTTTTTCTTCTTGCCTGTAGAATTATATTTTAAAGAAACTTTTCTTGTTCATCGGAAAGGAAAGAAATGCTTCTGATTTTTCTGTTCTCACTTTGGAATTTTAAAAAAAATTCGCCAATTACTGGCTTGCTTCAGCTAGAATTTTAAATTGATAAAATAAAAATAAATAAATAACAAAAATTCTGAAATCACAGAAGTTGATAATTCGCTCTAGAAATTATGGTTTTTCTTTCATTTTTTCAAAGAACAACATATTTTTTAAAGAACATGATAAAAACATTTTATATTTTAATAAACTATGACTGTGAGTGGGAATTTTGTTACAAATTCAGATATTCGAAACGCCATGAAATTGGGAGGGGGGTTTAAATCCCATTTTAAAAATTTATTTTTCGGTGACCTAAATCCATGAGTTATTGTTTAAAAAATAGTTAAAATCATGACATTTCATAAAAAATTTTGTTCAATTCAGAAACTCATGAATTTCCAGATGAACAGATACCCTGAGTTTACCTAAATCAATTTTTTGTCACACATTATATTATTTAATTGCATCTATCTCCTCTCAAAAAATAGAAGTAATAAATAAAAACTGCACTAACTAAATCTAGAATTCTCTCTTTCTTACAGCTAACTTTTCATTTAAACAGATTACCTGGCACACTTGTTTGCTGTCTGCTAATTGACCAATCATTTGCAATAAATAAGGGCCGTAAGTTTCAAGCATGGTGGCACATTTGTCTTTGAAAGAAGAGGGTAAAACAGTGCAAACTTTTTCAACAACTTGTGTGATTTCCTTATCAACATCGTCTTCCTCCAGCAATTTGTCCAAATAATCCACGACAGTTGTACACACTGAGCACTCATCCAGGCCGAACTTGTTTAATTCCACGTCTGAAATCATATAACATGAAGGCATTAAATACAGTTCAATTTGTAATAAATAATGAGTTGTATTTCATAGTCAATTATTTTATCAGTTGACATTCAAAATCTAAGGAAGATGGGGTAAATTACAACTAATGACAGTCTTTATGTAAAATATGTTGGCTATAAAAGTGGTTAAAATAAATTACAGAAACAAGGCATAATTTTATAGCNTTAAAAATTTCTACTTTGGTTCGCTACCACTAGAAAGAATTATTTTCAAAATCCTCATAAGTTGGAGGGTATGAAAATCTAAGGAAGATGGGGTAAATTGCAACTAATGACAGTCTTTATGTAAAATATGTTGGCTATAAAAGTGGTTAAAATAAATTACAGAAACAAGGCATAATTTTATAGCAAGTAAATAAAAAGAAGTGTCATAGAAATAGATGACTCAGGAGATAGAGCGTTCGGCGTTAATGAGGTGAATCGGGTTCGAATCCCAGTGATGACCGATGGATACGAATTCCGCATCCAGCTAGCACCAACCTCAATGCCGATGTAAAATATCCTCAGCAATAGATGGAGCCTGGGTTAAGAGTCCCTTTGTCGCCAGGCTAACCGTGGGAGGTTTTCTCCACATGTAAAGTAAATGGCGGTTAGTTCCCTCACGAAGTCCTCCATGAGGGCGAATTTCTCCCAATACTTATTCTAAGAGTTCCATTGTTTCCTGGATTGGGTTCAAAATTACAAGGCTATGGAGTTGAACATTAGTAGTCGTAGATCCAAAAAAATGGGGTTGGCTGTTTAACGATGATTATAAAATAAATGACAAGTGAAATAATTGATTAACACTTAATTCCCTCATCATTGCTAGCAAAACTGAAGAGCAAACAACGAAAAGAAATGTTATTCAAAATAAGTCTATGGATATGGTATTAATGTATGTTATTTTAAATAAAAAATATAATACAGAATTTTTTTTAATGCTTTTCCATGAAAATCGCCTATACCTTTAATGTTAAATTATCCTGGATTTAATTTACCCTTTTAAAGAAAATCCAGCTTTATACGTTTTTCTAACAGCTCAAAATCATTACTTCTCAAAGAAGCTCACACGAACTTTTTCTGAGATTTCTATTTCTTCTTCAGTAATATATTTTAAGAGACTTGCTTATTAACTGTTTTCAGATTCTTTCAATTCTATTTATTGTCCTACTGTCTGTGTGAAGGGATTTTCCTTTTTAAGTAAAAATCAGAAGGACGGTCGAATAGACAAGGCATGGGAAGGGTAGCTAAAGGAAGTAGGAGCTTGAATTGTATAAAATAAGTAAGAGTAAAATTGCTATCAGCAAACTTCATATTTGAATCTTGGAACTATCCTATCATTTAAAGAAACTGCTCATGAAACCATTTATTTTCTTAGAATCCGGTGACATACAACATACTTTTAAAGCAAAATTGATGTTCTAAAAGCAGCAAATTTAATTTATACAATGTTGGACAGTGTTGACTAAAATGCACTAAGAAAATTTCTTGGTATCCTACGGTAACACTGGTTCTTCGGAATAAAATTGCATGTTTGAAGGTCTTCTCAAGTCGATGACGAGTATATAAACAACACACATCTAATCACTTTTTAATTCCCTCAATATCTGATTTAATGCCGGCTCCCAATGATATCGATGAAAACGATTGAAGAGGACAGAAAGTATCGAAAAAATATCAACAACATTAATATAGGTGATTACAAAGGAGAATACATAGAGGTTCAAAACTAGAGTAAGAAACAGGCACCTGTAGCTAAACTGCCTTTCAAAAACCTAAAAAATAAGTTAACACAAGCTAATGATTTCTAAAGAAAATCTTAGAAAACAATTAAAGAGAAGAGTTTACTTTTCTCAAAATGAGCTGAAGTATTTGAGCAGAGCTGAGCCTTGACACAGAGAACACTTGGGTCAATTTCCTGAGCAATGAGTGTAAGAAGAGATGAGCCATATTCATCAATAAAGGCACCACAGTTAGTCTCGAGTTTTCCAGGTAGAATTGAACACACTTTCTTCACCACATTCTTCAATTCACTCTAAAAATTTAAAAACATTTCATTTATTAAATCAAGGTGTGTAGCCAAACCTTTCAACAAAAAATAAGCACCTTTAGAGTACTTTTTAAGCACTCAAAAAATATTTTTCAGCACTATATACATTAACAAAATGCTAAATAATTTTCAAAGACTTCACATGATCATGAACTAGTATCTGACAGAGAACTCTTTTCTTGATTATATTAGCCACCATAAAAAAAAAATCGAGAGATTTTTCGGTTCGATTACACAGAGTGGAAAATGAAGTCTGAAATTTAGAATATCTTGCAAAATGCAGCAGAGTGGCAAAGGAGAGTGCTAGAATATCACTGAACTTAGTTCAGCAGACGCACACGCGGGCTCGCAAGTATTTAATCGAATATGTAACATGAGTGGCGCTATCATACGTTTCCGACCAACAGTACACCAAAATGGATTGTGAAAACTGTGAATAGAACAATGTGAAAATCATGCTATTGCATAATGCGCAGTGAAAATCAACACGGTTAAGGAAAAAAATCTTATTTTCATAAAGAAAAAATTAAGCATTATTTAAAAACATACAATGAAAAATGCACATTTAAGGGCTTTTAAAAAATGAAAATAAGCACCTTTAAGCACTTTTTAAAAATGCTACGTACCATGTAAATAGGTGTCCAATGCAAAGAACATTCAAAGGTATAAAAAACATAAATTAAGATTCCTATTTTGTACTATCAATTTGGTTTAGTTGATTTAGTTTCAGCTCTTAAAGTTTAGTTTATTAAAATAATAATTACTTGAGTCTCAGGATCCATGAGTTCATTTTGAAGATAATGCAGAGCTTCTTTACAGCTTTCACACTCAATATCTTGGACTAAAGTGACGGGAAACAGCAAATTAGAAAAAATGTGCCAGATAAATTAATGCTGAGCGTTAGTAAAATTTAAAAATAATAACACTCCAAAAAAAAAAAAGCTCTTTCAATAGAAAATGTCAAAAACTTAAATATTTCTTTATGTTTATAAATTTTTTTTTTCAATATAGAAATGATTTGAATGTGAAAGGTTTTAGGAAAATAACTAATTGTTCATAAATTGAGACTTCAATATAACAGAGTTGGTAACCGTATAAATAAAACCTACAGCTTATCAATGAAACACATATAGAATAGTTTTAAGAAGCTAACTATTTAATATTTTTATGAAACTACCTTATAACATTATAATAAGATTATTTATTGATGTAACTATTAAAAGGATTTTGAATTTTTTTTTAAAGAAAACAAATTATTAGTGAACAAGAATTACTTAAAATTAAATGTTATATAGATAGGGAAGAACAGAAATGTTGATCCATAGCTCATGCTGATGCATTATTCACAGTCAAATAAGCATTCAATGCTTTCAAGTAACTATAAAAAAACATCCCCCAACTGAATATATGGTTGAAGAAACAATTTTTTATCTTTTTACACAAAAAGAGAAATATAACAATAAAATTTACTAATTTCGAAAAATATATTAGAATAAGCTATTCAATAATAAATTTAAAGTATGCAGTAATGAAAAAAAAAATTTATATGTTAAAAAAATTTAATGATAATCATCCTTAAATATAAACATTTATGAATATGGGGGACTATGAAACGGTAAAATATCTCTTTTAAATACATACCTGAAAATCATTTTCTAATTATCTAATCAAATTTATTATACACGACAGAAATCACCGTTTATAATTTTCATGTATATTTAATTCTCATATATATTATCATGCAGAACCCACAATACTAGAAGCAAAAGATAATGTTTAAAAATTTAATAGCATTCATATTAGTATTTGCAAGATGTCTAGTTCATAGCATGCAAAGATATGGTAAGTGAATGTAAAATAAAAGAATAGATAGGAAGGTTTCGTGTGTTAGTTTGAAAGAAGGGCAAAGAAAACTAAATTAAGCAATCTCTAAGCAGCCACCACCAATAAATAAAAGGTTAGTAGTAGTTAGTATCAATATACTGAAAAAATAACCTTTTTCTAAACTTTTTAACTGGGTTTCTGATGGGTGTTCAACAGCTAGAAAATAATAAAAAAAGTATTCAGCAAAAAAGAACTGAGAGAAAAAACTTACATTAAAATATCTATATATATATATTTATTTTACTGCATTACCTCATAAGACCTACAATGTACAGAAGTTAATCTGTTTCTTGGGAGAAAAAATTAGACATCAAATTAAAAAAAGAATTTCTTTGACTAGGGTGGTCATAAACACTTATAAATAAAAAATTCCCGATTTTTCCAGACTGAATTTCTCCAATTTTCCCTTTGTGATGGCAAAAATTTTAATATTAATGTATCAGTCATACCTTATTAAATATAACTCAAACATAAATTTATATTACAAAACACATACATGAATATTAAGAAAAATATTTGGAAAAAGGTTAATTTCCCCCCGACATTTTGGATGTGTTAAATTCCTTGATATTCTTCAGACTGGTAAAATTTTCTGACATTTCCTATTATGTGACCATCTTATAGACAAGAAACAAATGAAAATAATAATCAATTATAATTCTTTTGTGAGGAAAAAATTTAAAGTTGATTGTAGGAGTTCAGATTACTATTCATTGTAGGCTTAAATTTACAAATAGTATGATTTATACCAATAGTTAATAAAACATTGCTAGTATGTACATCGAGATAAAGTAGCAATAAAAATATATTTTGACAACATATGAAATATATTCCTTTTCTAAATTTTGAAATAGTTCCCATGAGAGGCAAATCAATCACACTTTAAGATATAAAATGAGTTATAATCACTATTCATCAAGCGACAAAGAAAAAGAAATTTGTTCAAGAGGACCGCAGGAGAAACACTTAATGGCAAACTCACCTACACAATTAATGACATCAAAGTTATAGTGAGTTCGAGTAGAGTAAACCATACAGTTTTCGATAAAATGTTTTTAAAATATCAAAGCAGGATTTTGCATCAAGGAAGAACTTGTGCCAAGCATTCTCACATTTTGAAAACATTTTTATATGTAACTTTATGGTGTAGTTCAGCTTCTCTTAACTTTAAAGTTTCTTCTGCATTACGGCATAATTCTTAAATAAATTTATTGATTTAAAGTATACTTTCTTTTTAGAAAATACATTAGAAATAATAAATGACACTCACCAGGGCAAACATTCAAAGCTGCACACACCATAGTTGGGTCTAATTCTTGAGATAGCAGAGTGATCACAAGTGCTGTATACTTGTCAACAAATGATTGACATTTAGCAGCTATTTTGGAGGGCAGAACTGAGCACATTTTCTCCAGAGCAGCTTTGATTTCCTCCTTTAATTACAATTATAGCATTAATTATGACATGTTTATAACTGTTTAGTTCAAGTAGATACTCTTTATTATCAATCAACAGATAGTGGATCACTTATTGTTTACACAGAACATATGTTAGACAACTTTCAGTCAACAAGAAAAAAAAATTACTAGAAAAATTTAACTTTATTCTACTTTTAAATTTTACATCTCACCACCTTGAGATAACTCCCCTAGCCATTTGCCTGAACCCGTGGCAGTGACTATGGTAACGAGGTATGACTATTTCAAGAGGGGGGTGTGGGCTCAAAGCTCAGGACATGCTTTGGCTTGGATCGGAGAAAGAAAAGGGAATCTTTTCCTTCAATCTATTGAGTTAGCCCTAGAGTGAAGAGAAGCTATCCTCCGTGAAATGTGCTATTCTCGTTTCCATAGCAGCAGGCGACCTCAGAGTTAGTAGCGGGAGGATATCTTACTGTAGACACACTATACCATGAAATGTTATTTTGTAAGTTAAGTTTTTTAAATAGTTTTTTTTTAAAGGATTGAGAAACAGGACAATTTTATGTCCACCCTTTATTATTTTTTTGCCACTACTTTGTACAGTCAAGTTCTACTTGGTTTAACTTAAATAGGAAATAAATGGAAAAAAAAATTTAAATAAAAATTGTCCCTTGTTAATTGTAAGAAACATAAAATTAGATTCCAGCAATTGCTGATTTGTAGTCGTGTACTACTTACTTCAGTTTTCTCATCTTTAACAAGATTTTCCACTTCTGTAACAGCTTCTTTGCATAAGTCACATTCTAAACTTTTTAGTCTCTTGGGTTTCTCTATTCTTATGGAGGCTAAAATAATAAAAAAAAAAGAATGAAATACATGAAAAAATAATTTAACACTCATAAAAATTTTATAATCAATTCACGTAGAAACTACAATATAATGAATGAGATGGCATATTTTATTTCTACTTTATTGATATTCCAATTATTTATTTAAATATCCAAGATCTCAATGATGATGTTTAGAATTTAAATATGTTATTTCATTCAAAGACTTACTTTCAGTTCTTTGTTCATAGAATTAAAATACTTAATATTAACATTATATATTTGATTTTATACCCAGAGCCCTTAAAGTTTCTTTCCGTACAGACTAACCATTTAATATTTGTAAAAACACAGTCCTTCAACTGCTTCTTTAAAAAGTAGTTTTTAAATTAAATCTTTAATCAATTTATCAATTTTACTTAGGAAAAAAAAAATCTTTTTTATTTTTACCACCTTGTTTGACGGAAAATTTAAGCTCAATAATTAAAATTTGCTTTCACAAGGGTGATTGTGAATTCAAAAAATCCTGAAAATTTCTTAAGTAAAATTATTAATGAAACATTTCAAAAAATGTCCTTAAAATTTAAATCATTGATATTTTCGAAACATGATAGTCAAAATAAATTATATGCAGTATAATTTAAATGAATGATAATGTATAAGTTTCCTTTATCTCTAATCATATTTATTACTCTAGCTGAAAAAATAATTATAAATGAAAGAGACGCCAAGTATAAATTTTAGTTCTAATATTTTTAAATAAAATATAGAAGAATTTTTATACATAAATGCAATCGATATATAAATGCGATTTCTTGAAATTTCTGGACCTTGGATTTCCGGAAACTTACGAAAAGTCTGGAAATGAGGATTTTTTCCGGAGCACAATCAGCTCTGCATTTAAAAGGTTAAAGTACAGCATTTTATTGCCATAAATTTTTTTATGAAAAAAAAGTTAAATTGTAATTAAAAAATATTTAAATGCAATAAATATAAAATGAATAAAATTACAAATTATTACATAGTGGACACAAACATTCAGAAAAAGTTTCCTGACTTTTGCTTTATTTTGACTTTCGTTTTTTGTTGAATTAATTTTTTAGGTTAGCGTCATTCTTAAACATAAATTTTATTATAAAACACTTATTCATGCCATTTGAGTTCATTTAAAATTAAAAATTCTTTTAAGCTTTTTTCTTCTTTTTTTGAAAAAATATATCTTTTGTTGTCGTTTACCTCCCATCAGGTCTAACAGAGTCAGACCAGATAGAAGGATCTATTGATATACAAAAAAAATCATTAACAAAAAGAGAAGATGCTTGCATTTCCTCCCATATAAGTTTCAAACAGTCAAAAATGTGTTTATACATTTCCAAAATGACTCTTAGGCACAGAAAAAAAACTGATTCCTTTTCCTTTACAATTAGAATATATAAATTACAACTGACGACATTTCTCTAGATTTTACAGGATTAATAATTTTATTTTTGCCTGTTCTCCCTGTTCTGTGTGACCAGCCTGTATTAATATGCCAATTTTTCATTTGAATTAAAATAAATGAAATAAAGTATGTTTGACTTACAGGGGCAAACTTTCAATTCAGCACACACCATTTGAGGGTCCAATTCTTGAGTCAAGAGCTCTATCAGAATATCCGTGTATTGATTAACAAAGGTCTCACACCTTGATGCGATGGAGGATGGCAAGTAAGAACATACTTTATCAAGAGCAGCTTTAATTTCATCCTAAAAACATAACACAAACTTAAGCATTTCTTTTTAAAGATAGAAGACTAGGAAACTGATTTTACGTTGTCTATTTCATACATTATTCCACTTCCTACGCCCTTTTTTACAAGATGAAAATAAGAAACAAAATTTCCTTGTATTTTTGCTGAAGAAACTTTAAATGAGGAATAGCTTAGCATACTTAAAACAAATAATGCTATAGTAAATGAAATAGTTTAGTATAGCTAAAATATCATCCTTAAATATCCCATATATTGAGCTTTGTACTGCTCACTACTTTTAAAAGACAAAAATAGGAAATAAAATTCCCTGTATTTTCCCAGTTTGTAAGAAAAACCTCAAAATTCCCTGTATTTTCCAGGTTTTTCCCTATTCTACCTGTTGAGTGACAATCATGATCCTTTAATATACATTAAATACACACTGCGACAATATCCAATACAAGTAGTGACAAACATATGACAATAGGAGACAACACACTCAGGATATTTTTTGACTGTTCTTTAATTAATATACAGGGTGCACAGCCATATCTTTCAACAAAAAAAGCACCTTTTAAGCACTCAAAAAATATTTTTAAGCACTATATACATTAACAAAATACAAAAAAATTTTCTAAGACTTTGCATGACCATGATAAAATAACTAGTTTCTGACAGAGAACTATTTTCTTGATTATGTTAGCTGTTATAAAATGATCCGGAGATTTTAGTTTGATATCAGAGGGTGGAAAATGAAGCCTAAAATTGAGAATATCTCGCAAAATACAGCAGAGTTGCACATGAGAGTGTAAGAATCTCACCAAACCCAGCTTAGTAGATGCACATGCAGACTCTTAAGTATTTCATGAAACATGTAAAATGATTGGTGCTTTCATACGCTAACAACCGACGGTACACCGAAATAAATTGTGATTGAATGAATTGGGAAAATGTTGTATATAACAATGTGAAAAATATGTTTTTACATAATACAAGGAGAAATTCCCTTTTCGCAAAGGTATAATTAAGCACTTTTTAAAAACATCCATTAAAAAAGCCACTTTAAGGACTTTTTAAAAAGGCTAGGCACCATGAATATAACTGAATGCTCCTTTCACTATACTCTAATAAAATTGCAAAATTTTAAAACGACAAAGAGATATATAATATTATCAATATGGAATAAAAATGAAGTGTTAAATGTTGATAAGATCAAGAATAAAGGTAATAGATGTACCTCAGTTTTTTTGTCTTTAACCATATCTTCTACTTTACTCACAACTTCTTTGCATAGTTCACATTCTACATCCTTAATAGGATTCATCACTCTCTTTACCAGTGATTCTGTACGAGGAAAAAAATTAGAACAATTTTATAAGTAAATTAAGATGAATAAATAAGATACATTTGCTGTTTTTTTTTAAAAACTCATAAATAATCTATCAAGTTAAAACAAGGTAGCTGCCAACATAATACGTGCCAAAACTAAAGAAATAATATAACAGATATTTTACTAGCAATATTTTTTAGACTACGAGTAAAGTTTTGATACAACACGCATAATCATGTAAGTCAAAAAGAGAAATTTAAAATTGCAAATAATATAAGCACTAACATTTAGCGAAGTAAAAAATATGTATATAAATTTTAATTTAAGCAAGATTTTTTTAAACCATTACTTAAACTATAAATACTCAACATACTGCAGGAATGGCAGTAGCACCATATGTTAAGGAATAAGAGAAGTATTTTAACAATCAGCGGATAATTTACATTGCCAATAGAGGACACAATTTGAGAATATACAGGTAAAAAGGAGATAGTCATAAAATACAGGAGTCTTTGCTAAAAAAACAGGAGACTCGGCAGGCATGCAATACGGACAGGAAAAAATCCAGTAGATTTTTACTGTCATCAAAATACAAAAATTTTATAACACTAAAAATGGTCTGCTATATTTTCCATTTATGATTGACAATAAATGAACCTGAAATGCTTTTTTTACTATGTTAACTCATAATTTTGAATATACTAACAGACAAGTAATTTATTGTGGATAATAGAAAGAATTTTTATTAAATGGGAGTTCCAAATAAAAATAAACTGAAAATTTTAGATTAAAATTTAGAAAATAATAAACAAGCTTTAAACAGATTACTATAAATGAGGCTAGCTTCATTATGCAGAAGCAATATTTTATTAAATATTCAAGCAAGCCATAAATTGTGCAAAAATTTTATTTCAACAGGGACTTTTTAAAGGGGACTTACTCAGTTTTAATGAATTTTCTAAAATATACAAAAAGAAGGAGAATTTTTGTTTAACCAATAGACAAGAGGAAATTGGAAAAATCTGGTAGCCTACTGGTAAATGCAGTAGAGTTGACAGCAATGAAACTATAATATTAATAAGCAGTTGTTTAATGCCAGTTTTTTTTTATCTAATCATTAATGACTCCAACAGATATTGTTCAGTACAGCTACTGAACAAATAGTTCAAAATTCTTACTGTACCCAATCAAAAAAATAAATAAATAAAATATTTTTAAAAAATGGTATAGTTACGATTTTAAAAATAATGCAAATGAAGCATTTTTACAACACATAATAATTTTTATAACAATTTTGATTTTAGCTTAAATTTATGAAAACATTTCAACTATATAAAGTTTAAAACACTGAATTTTAAGAATTAATCTTTTTTATAGAAGAATTTTTAAATGTATTGCTTTTATTTATATAATGAATTAAAAATTTAAAATCTTTTTTTTCTTCTACTAAAAAATAAATTTAAATATTTAACAAAAAAAGAAACCAATACAAAGAAAACGACAAGAGTTATTTTTCAGGATGTATTAATGATTAAATGATAGCAATATAAAAATTTTAAATAATAAAGTTATTGAAACCTAAACATTATTTTAACACATCAAGATGTATGAAATTAAAAAAAAAAAAACATTAGTGATTTTAAGGGATCACAGTACCCTTGCAACATTTTTTAAAAAATATCGTATTGTGGATGCCTGGCATGCTCCTTTAACCCTGTAATTTATAATCAATAATTTATCTTCAAAAAATAGTTTAAATGTTAATTTTTTTTAAATTTTCAAAAAAATTGAAAAATTTCTAAATTTTTAAATCCTTAAGACTTTTTTATTTTAACATATTTTAATTTTTTTTTTTTCTTCTTAGTGATGAAAATATTCAATAACTTCCTGAAAAATGTAGATAGAGAGATGATTTTGTTGCAGTGCATTTGAAATAGTTTGAAGTTTTATTATAAACAATAAAAAATATCGATATTTTGGTCATTTTGACCCCGTAAAACCTATTCGCTTAATTCACAATGAATTAATGCTTAAAATTACAAACCTGGGCAAATTTTCAGGATGCCGCAAACACTATCTGGATCCATTTCTTGAACGATAATGCTTATGATGGTATCAATCTCTTCATCTACAAATTTTTTACATTCGGCAGCAAGTGATGAGGGCAAGCGAATACATCCTTCTTCGAGGAATGTCAAGATAATTTTCTATAACCACAAAACATTAAAATAAAATAATTACAAAAGCTAAAACTACCAAACAAAATTAAGAATTAATTTAAATTTAAAGACAAAATCAGAATTTTGTAGATTACAATGCTAATGAAAAATTAATTATGAAAATACGAAAAAAGAATATAAAAACAAAGCTTTTCAGTAAAGCGTTACTACTTTTGAAGCTAAAGTAAAGTTATTTTAAGTTGTTAAAAAAATATATTTTTCTAATTTTCTTTACACGGCAAATGAAAGAGTGCACAGCATAAGACACTGAAAGTAAGCACAACTAAATACGAAATTTTTAAAAAAATTTATTTTTGTTTGTAGGCCAGTAATTTCAGAAATATTTTTTAAAAAAACTAGTTCTACATACTTTAGAATTTGGATCCTCAAGTTTTTGTCTGAAGGAGGTCACAACACTTTTGCAAACGTCACATTCCAGATCTTTGACTCTTCGGGGAGCAGAAATTCTCGGTTCTGAAATACAAGCAAATATGAAAAATGAGTATAAGCATCACTAGCCTAAGACACTCTCAGTTTTTAAAATTTCTCAAGAAATACTTAAACTTGTTTCGTAACTTTAGAGATGTTTAATTCATGCGATTTTTTATACTTAGCAATAAGGTTTAAAGCTTTCACAGGTTTAGGAGATCTACAATAAATTAAAGAAAAAAGAAGTGTTCATAACACCCTATGCCAGAAAATCAAGCAATAAGCTTGCAACTTGTATTGATTACAAATTTGTTATTTTTAATAACTGTATTAAATTTTGAAAACCTTGCATTCGTATATTTATAAAAATACGGACACTTTTTTGAAAAAACAAATTTTTTGTCTCACGGTTTTTTGAAACTTTAAAGAATATTCAATGGAATATGAATTAAACAAAAATTTGGAAGAATTATTAAAAAAATTACTGATTTAAAGAAAATAGTTAAAAACTGTGCAAGATATGAGTATTTAAGTAGTTCTTTTAAACTGCAAGCACGCAGAAAAAATTTTGAAAAAAATTTTCTTCATAATTTTGTAGTGAATCATATTGAATGAAAAGTTTAAATTGAATATCTTAAAAATTTAAAGAGTCTCAAGTAATTTTTTAAGTTTTTTTACCTTTTAAAAGAAAACTCAAAACGATAAAGGTTCCACTAATTTCATTTCAGATAAATAAGTATTTCTGTATTTAAAAAATGTCAAAAGCTGAAAGTGTTAATTCTATTTAATATTTATAAAGATATAGCAAAAAAAAAGGCAAAAAAATTAGTATTTGATAGAAAAATAACAACTAACGTAATCAATACAAGTTACAAGCTTATTGCCTGATTTTCTGGCATAGGGTGTTAAAAAAAAATACTTGTTTTCTTTTGTAATTTATTGCCTGTCTCTCAAACCTTTGTAAGCTGTAAATCTTGATACGTGGGAAAAATCACATGAGCTAAACATCTCTAAAATTATAAAACAAGTTTTTTGTGAAATTTAATAAAAAATGTCAAAAACTGAAAGTGTCTCTTCTAATACTGTCGTGTAGTGTATGTCAGTACATGTGGTATTATTTAAGTCCCGTTGCTCTAGTAATAATATCTCTTTAATTTTTACTGTGTTATTTCCGTGTTTGTTTCTTTTCAGATTCGCAACTAAAGAAGCGGCCACACATGCCACCATGACTACTCATAACATTGAAGTGAATGATCAGAGAGTGAGGTGTTTGTGGGCTAAAGAAGCTGGCAATCCCAATAATCAGCAGCAACAGGTGGGCTTAAGTCTCAAGGTGGCTTGCCAATATCAAAATTAAATTATTCAATGCTCCAAACATTTTGGGAACTTGTATTTGCAGAAACTTTTAGAACACATCCATTATCCAGCAAAAAGAATTTTCAAATGAAATTAGTGTTGCCATTTAGGTATATTAAATAAAGTGTTTTTTTTTTTTTTTAATATCTCAAGTGCTTGTAGTTTTCCTCGTATGCAACGAGTTCAAAAATCACTGCTTAATTCGTATATTTTTTATTAGAGTATTTGTTTAAATTAATATCAAAGAAGCCTAGATGTTAGGGGACGCAAACAAATACTTAATTGAGTAAAAAGCTAACATGTTCAAACTCTGACGAATCATTATCAAGGCCACTCTTAGTAAAGATTGAATTAAAATCTTTAAAGCTAGTTATTGGTTCTTTTAAATTTACTTCAACTATGATTCACCTCAATAATGATTCTTCAGATTTTGATAATTCTCCTCCCCTTAAATATTAAGTTGCAATCCCTGTTGACTATTTAATATTAGTTTTGAAATACCTTTTGAAAAATATATATTAATGACTGGGATTACCGAATCTTTGTTTACATTGCATAATTGTCAGGTGTTTTTAAATTAAGTTTAGTATTAAGAAGCTAAAGAAGCTAATTTCCTCACTGCAATAACTGTTGTTTTTAATTTTCCTTTTCAGGAACTTGTAATCAAACAATTATATATTTTTTTTACCTGTCTAAATTCTAAAGTTACAAAATAATCTTTCAAATATTTTAGGAGAAATCAAAAAAATTTCAAAAACTGAAAGTGTCTCTTGCATTATTTTGGGGTAGTGTATGTTATCTAGTAGGAAAAAAAATTTATCAACTAAAATATTTGCATCAAATGGAATTGAATAACAGAAATCAATGAAATTAAATAAAATATTTAGGTACAACTGATTTTTGTTTTAAAAAATTTCTGTTTTTTGACAAGTTTCACACAGTGATAACTAAAAGCATATACAGCAAAGCATTTTTAAAGTTAAATGTCTCGAAAGAAATCTATAAGAAAAGATTTACTCTCTATTTTCATTATTGAGCACTGGAAAAAAATTTATAATTTATTCATTAACATGTTATACAACATTAATTTGTTATTTGAACTATATTTATAATTCAGACATGTAAAAAGTATACTTCAATTTCTTTAGATGTAAATCAGCATGAGACTAAAGATTGTTTAATTAAAAGTAAAAAATAATTTCAAAAATAATTTATAACTGATAAAAAAAGAGAACTTAAGAAATAAATACCTGAGCACAATTTGAGAGCAGGACAAATGTTATTTGGTTGCAACTCTTGTTCTAAGATATCAATGAGAGCATCAATGTTGGAATTGAGAAAATTAGTGCAATCATCTCGCATGCTTTGAGGTAGAACATTGCAACCTTGATCCAACAGATCTTTTAACTTTTGCTAAAACAAAAAAATTTAGAATAAATTCATCTATCGAGTGCAAGTGCAAAATAAAGTTGTGGAAAGAAATTTCATTATACAAATTGAGGTAGAATATTACAACCTTGATCCAAAAGATCTTTTAACTTTTACTAAACAAAAAAATTTTGAATAAATTCATCTATCGAATGCAAGTGTAAAATAAAATTGTGGAAATTTACAAATGGTAAAAAAATATTGTACAAATGCAACAAGCTTATTGAAGAAAATTTTCCATTTAATTTTTACCTATCAACACAGAAATATTTGTGATCAAATTTAACAAACATAGTCATAGTAGAATTTTTTTCTTTTTTTTTTCAAAATGCTAAATGCACAGAAATGATAAAATGAAATTTTCGAAGAATTCAGGCAACGTAGAACTCATTCATTACCTATTGCATCTTATTCTACTTAGAAGGCAAGAAATGAAGATTTAACAAATTTTTACATAACCAGGGGTGAGTGTGGGCCCAACTCAAAAATCCAGAAAATTTCTTGAGTAAAATCATTCAAAAAATTAATATCTTTATAAATTTAAATCATTGAAATATTCAAAATATGATATTCTAAATGAATTATATGCAGCATAATATAAATGAATAATTATGCGTAGGTTTACTTTCATCTCTAATCACATTTATTATTCTACCAGAAAAAATATTTACAAATGAAAGAGAAGCCACGTATAAATTACAGTTTTAATATTTTTAAATAAAATATACAAGTGATATAAATGTATAAATGATTATTATAAAAAATCATTTATACATTTATATCACTTGTATATATAAATGTGATTAATGATTTCTTGAAACTTCTGGACTTTGGATTTCCGGAAACTTTCGGATCACAGTGAGCGAAAAATCCAGATTTTTTCCGGATCATGATGCATAACTTTATTGAAACAGTATAAAATGGTATAGCATAAATTAACAGATTAGAACAACTGTCCAAAGGCAAACAAAGTGGGTCTCTTAGAGCCAGGTCAGGTGGTCTCTTAGAGTCAGGTGGTCACTCAAATCGGGTTTCATATTTCCCTGATTTCACCAAGTTTTTCAGGTAAAAATCTCCAGGTCAGAGTGTTTTTTTCCCCTCCCCACAAAGCGTAGAAGGGGTGCTAAACCCCCAAGAAAGGTGCCAACATTCTAAAGTTTTTTTAAAATTAAAAATGTTATTTTTTTAATGTATAATCTTGAAAAAATAATTAGATTAGATTTATTATAACAAAATAGGTTCCGTTTTTCTTTTTTTTTAACTTTTCATGCTTTGTACAACATTAATTTTTAATAAATTAAGATAGATGTGGAAAAAATAATATGTTTAGCTAGTAGAAAATATTGTTTTTATAGAATACAAAATGTTTTCATATACTGTTTCAAGGATAGGACAATGATGGGTTTAGTTTTGCATATACAGTATTAACATATCATAAGCTTTTATATAATCCATTTTGTGTGACACAATACATAATTAAATAAACAACAACAAGCCAATGCACGATCCCACACCTTTACCTCACCAAAGGTATCTATCAGAAATATGTTCGCAATCAGAGAGACAAGAGTAATTGGGGAAGGTCTGAGAAACATTCCTGAGGATGATCTGAAGACACGCCATCACAATTCTAATCCCTCGCAAAGGGGATGGCTCCCATGCTTTGATATCCCAACGGCCTGCTTGCAGGAGCAGTCGAGCAATTTACGGTAGAAAAATTCGTTGCAAAAACTAAAGTAATATTTTTTTACACTTTAATTTTTCCATTCAGAGGTTTCTCCTGTGACGTCATTTCCATAGCCATTGCTGATGTCTCATCGGCGATGTGACATCATCATGTTGACCACCATGACATCATTATTCAACTAAAGAACTCCCATAAATGTATTGAACTAACACAAGTGTGATTTATCTTATGGTGGTCAGTTGAAATGTTGACACTGTGGTTGTAAATGTTGGCTTTTTCGAAGGGTGCTGATGCACTGAGGGAAATATATCTTATTAGTTTTTGAAATGTTTTTCTTGTAAAGAACTTACTTATATTTTCCACCAAATTAAAGAATTTTTTATTACTTTTATTGGGACTTTGTTACTTATTTGAAATCATTCAAGTAATACAATAGCTCAAGATTGTTTGTTTTGATCATGCAGTAAATCCACTGCCAGCCAGGCGCTCTGCTTTACATTAGCGATATTTTCCGGCCGGTTCAATTTACATAACCGCCCAACAGAGTTTAACGAGAACTAATACCGTACACCCTCAGTCCCGACGCAGACTGAACATCTAAGTGGTCACCAAAACTACTTACTGGCCGCAACCACTGATGCTTGACTTCGATGTTCTAGTCGGAACCATGTTTTTACAATCATTCTACTGCTGGACCAGTCATTGCAAAAATTTGAAACTGCTTTTATTTCAAAATAAAGCATGTGCTTTGCTCATTAAGTTACCTGGCTTTCCAGAATTGTTTCACTTGATTGGCTTGCATGGTTTTCTTGTGCGAGCATATGCAAGTATTAGAGCAATAAAATTTTATCCTTTGCTGTGTAGGAAATTAATATAAAATGGTAGGGAAAAAAACTTACTTTCGTAGCAGGGTCACTAAGTTGCTTTTCCACTTCATTCATTGCATCTTTACACAAATCACAGAAAGGACCTTCTTTTTTCACATCAATTATTTGTTTCAATTCTAAAACAAATAAATATTCAATAAACAAGAACTTTTTTCTTAAAAATCAATACACTCTTATTTTACACAAAATTGATCAAAAACTATGTCTTGATGTTAAGATGGAATGAGACCAGCAAAAAAAAAAAAGGATAGATATTATTTTTAAAGTTCAAAATACTTATGAATTCCTTTAAATAACAAAATTTTCTAAATGTAAACACCTTAAACTATGTTTATTTTCTAACTTTTGTCACCACTTTAAAACATTTTCCTGAAACTATGACTTTTGCTGAATAATTTTATCAAATTTCCTTGATGCTTGTTACAGGCTGCAAAAATTTGATTACTAATGTCTCATTCATATACTTAATAAAATAAGAAACTCGATATTAAATTTAACAATTTTTTTTTATCACACACACACATATACTGGGTTGAGTTAATGTCATTGTATTTTTTTTCTATAATTTTACAGTCATATATTTATATAAAGGTTAATCAATGATATGTTCTTCTGTTATTGTTCGGACAGCTTCACAATTCCACGTTCGTAGAAGGACCTACGAAAAACTTATGAGGGTGTTGATTAGCCTCATCAGAAGTTAACATTATTCCAAGCAAGGAGTTTTGAAGAAAGCAAAACAAGTGAAAGTTTGGCCATGTAAGGTCAGATGAGTATCCAAGCTCCAATTACTTTAGGCTAGTCTCCAAAGATGTATGTGGTCTCGCATTGTCGTAATTGTGGTGTCGATTGACGAGCTCAAGTGGTTTCTCAATAATATATTTGTTTAATCTCTTTAGTTACCTACAATTGATTGTTTCATTCTTTGGTTGGAGTTCAAGAAACACCACATCCTTCCAATCTCACCACACCGAGAGTATAACCTTTCTCTAATGAAATTCTGGTTTTGAAGACATTGATGGCTATTTTTCACTACAGTACTAAAACTGTCTGAACACCACATTGTTCTAAACAATCTTTTTCGCGTTACCAACTACCATTTGTTAAATGAAAGGTAATTTTCTTCACATTTCATGAGCATATTACATATGTTTACTCGTACGGTCATATTAAATTACATTCTTCAAATTCATGAGAAATGGAAATTTTGAGCTCGCTTACGTGACTCTAGATGGCTGCAGATTAACAGATGGGTAATCAAACACTTTACCCAGTTTTTTACTAGCTTGATGCATGTTTTTCTTTCTACGGAAATAAAACAGTTAAATAACGCTTATGTTCCACATGCTATGATAGTTTCCTGATTTTTTTCAGAATGATAAAATTTCCTGACATCACATAGTTATTATGTTTACTTGTTAATGAAAAATAAAAAAGACTGCTAAAAATAACTATAAGAAATAGTAGGTAAAGCATTATAACTACGGTAGTATAAAAGCAATTCAAAAAGATATGTCACTTCTACTGAAATGTAAGCTAAAACAAGATGGACTGTTATAGAAGAAAATGATGTATTTTTAGTCTAAAAACAGTTATATTTACTTACCATTTCTTTTGTCATTTAATGCGCAAGCTTTAACATTTGAGCACAAATCTTCAAATGATACTCCCTCAGCAATAGCATACTGCATTCTCATTGAGTATTTCTGAGTTATTCTGGCACAGTGATCTGGGTACTCTACCATCCATTTACCACACACTTCTCCAATAGTATGTCGAACACCATCCTAAGATTAAGTTCAGAATTCACAATTTCACTTTAAAATGTTCTAACTTAAATATATGCTACATTAAGAACCGAAAATGATTTCCTTTTTTAAAATCAGTAAGAAAGTTAGCTAGTGCTAAAAAATACTAATAGCAAAGCCAAGGTGAACGCTAGTGTTTTTTTTTTAAGGCGGATGTGCATTTTGTGATGCAGAACACATAATTATAACTGTGTGACATATAGCAATAAAATGATTACTGAATGGTTAATATGAAATATTTATACTCATAAGAAAGTTCAAATAATTCTGTTTTACATTCTTTTGCTACTATGAGTGTTGTTTTTTTTAAGTACAAGTCTTAATATATATAAATCATGATTAAACAGAATAAAATAAATATTATAAATTTAATTTTGTAAGTTTTTTTATAAAATTGGAAATTTGGCCTTATGTCCTAAGTTAGCCCATATATACATTAAACTAAAAATATTGATGTAAGATAAATTAATAAAATATTAACAAAATTTTATTGGTAGAACATTCAACCCATAATAATAAAAATTACATTTCTCAGATCCTCAGTAATATTTGAAAAATAAAATTTTAGATGAAAAGAAAGCATTCGTCAAAGACAATTTAATAATTAATGCTATATAACAGCAAAATACAGCTTTGGACTGTTAGCAACTAGGTTTGCGCATGTTTTTACAAAATTAACAGGGTTGAAGGATTATTTAAATTGTAATTTAAAGCTCTTTTTTTTAAAAAAAAAAAAAAAGATCAGTTCAAATAATTAAAAAAAAAATCCTAAATCTTTGTTTTACATAAATAAAATGATTTATTTGGCGGAAAAAATTATATAATTCAATATGGATGAATGTTACATTTATGATATTTTTTATAATAATATGTTACATTAATGATAATTTCTACAATAACTTTCATTTCAAAAGATATGGCACATTTTCAGCAATATCATTCAAAAGAGATAATTACCTTACTCTTATCACCAGCCAGATCAGTTTCTAGGTAGAAAGAAAATGCTTTACACAGGGCACATTCAGTATCTTGCTCCAATATAGGATGGACAAATTTCTCCAGAGGGAGAAGAGGCTCTGTGAAAGGAAGAAAACAAAATCATTTAATTCAGAATAAATGTTTTCAAACATGCAAAACATATAACTTAGCTCCAAACTGCACAGATTTCATATTTTTAAGCAAGTTTTACAGTTTAACTATGTTCCAAATCTAGTTTTTAAACATATAATTTCTTTTAATTGCACAAATTGTTACTGTTCAATTATGCAAATAATCCAATAAAACTGTTTTACATTTAATACAATTAAAGTAAAAGCAAACTGCACTGTATTTAACTTTGTTCCAAACACATTCATTTAGGTTTAACATGTATGGCATATTAATAATAAGTACATAATATGATGTTTTTGCTCTATAAGAAATCAAAATTCTACTTTATTCTATTAACCCTCAAAGCATTGAGCACCTAGGTAAACCTGTACAAAAATTTCTTGCAGCCAACTACTTTCCCATTCAATAACATCTGGAAACCAATTTTTTGATGCAGAATAGTCCACAACTGAAAGTTAGGAAAAAGCTGGAGCTTAGAGTTATTTGAACAGTATTAGCTTATAAAATTTTTCTTGGTTAGATTTTCAAGTAAAATGCATAGGAAAATAGACTCATCTGACAAAAGATTCATTAATGATATTAAAAAATTTTATATTCTTGTGTTTAGTTTTATGGAATTTCTTGAAAAAAAAATTAAAAATCAAAAAATATTTCTCGCAAAAATGTTTATTTATATTGTAAGTCAAAGCAAATCTGCACAACATTGAAAAATTTGTCACTATCTACATAAATATAGGATTGCTTTAAAAACTTTTTCTCGTAATTGCTACAAACTATTCATCTATACATATAAAAAGTTCTTTTTTTTGTTAGGTTGTATAATTTTTTATTACTGAATCAATTAACTAACAAAATAACTTGAAATAACTATGGGATAGTATTAAACTTACTTTTTTATTTTATGTCTGAGAATTTTAATGTAAAAACCTATCATAAAAAAAATCTGTATTATGGAATAAGCCCATTACTAATAAGTGCATCACTTAATTTGTTAAAGCATATATCATGAATTTAAAATAAATAAAAATAAATAAAAGAAGAAATATCGGAACAAGTTTGTTGCAATATTTAAATAATTATTATCAACTGATCAAAAATTAATAATCTACACAATAAAAAAAAGGTCATTTCATTCACTGGTTAAAAGGTAAATAACAAAGGTTAACTGATTTGGATAACAATAAAGAATTAAGGAAAGGGGAAGAAAAAATGAAAAAGGAAGCGATAACTGTTATATTCACTGATATAAACGAAAGACGTATCTATATCAGTAATAAACAAAATGAGAACAATTAATGATATAACCAAAAAGGTTAACGAATTATAATAAATTTATCAAATTAGATAAAAAATATGGGTCAAGGTCATGTTAAGATAGCCTGTCTCAGTTTATATACAAGTTAAACCTTTTGCTTACAAGTTAACCTTTTTTTTAATTTTAAAATACATAAAGTTCAAGTTTTTAAAATCCACTCCTTTTTTTATAAAAAATAGATTTTAAATCATTATGAATGCATCAAGAAATGGAAGATTTCCTATAAATAAAAAAAAATTATGTAATAAATCTGGGGGGTTAATGTTCTACATTTGAATACTCTAGATCAATATTTTTAAATTAATGCTCTTCTTTTTCCATACTACTTTTCTGAAAATCTATTCTTGAAATGAGATTCAAATTTAAATAAATATTCTTTCCAGCTCATAAAAACCCAACATTATAACTTAATGAATAAAAGATAAAGGTTTTAAAAACATGTCCTTTTAACAGTTTAAAGCTTACTTTTTAAAATGATTATTTTCAATTTATTTTTGTAAATTAAGATATGATACATTGCATCAGAACTGGTAAAGTATTACAAAATCACGTTCTTGAAATATGAATTAAATATTCGTCAGTAATAGTAAGAGATATTAAGATATTATTGAGAGGAAAAAAAAACAAAACACTAATCCGAATGATTGTTTGATCTATGTGATTATCACTAACATTAATATCATTCATAATATCAAACATATTTCAATTTTGCATTTTAATATTGCAGATAAATATTGAAAGACACTAAACTTGACTTCAGATTATATTTCAAGGGGGAATTAAACTTAATTCATAACTTAAATCTTCCATATCCTTACAATAAATATCTTTCCAATGATAATATTTTAATAACTTTATATGCTTTGAAAATGTCTTAATTCAGATTTTTTTAAGTTTACTACTAACATCATTTTAAATTATTTTGCCAGTTAATTGATTCACTAATAAAAAATTATACAACCTAAAAAAAAAAAAATTTTAATTTATAGATGAATGAGTATGCAGAGATTAAGAGAAAAAGCTTGGAAAGCAATCCTAAATTTATGTTAAGATAGTGACAAATTTTTCAATGTTTTGCAGATTTTCTTTGACTTACAAGATAAATAAACATTATTTGCAAGAAACATTTTATTTGATTTTTAATCTACATTCTGAAAGATTGCCATAAATATGTATATCAGGAAAAAAATTCAAGAAATACAATAAAAAGAAACAAGAATACATACATTTTTTAATATCATTAATGTATCTTTTGTCAGGAGTTATGGTGGAAAAATAACAAAATAATGTTGTAAAGGTCATAATTAATGCAAATTTGTCTACAAATTTGCACAAATATGATCTCAAGAAAATAGGATTTCCATAAAATGTTGGCAGAGACATACATTTTGGAAACAAACTTATCATATGATATAAAATCAGGCTTTTCAGAGACGCTTACAATTACTAGCAATGATTTTGAATAGCATTTTATGTTATACTCAAAGATTTTTTTAAAGAAAGCTTTAAAATTTGTAGTCTTTTCTTTAAATTATTATTTTGGTTTACTCGCTACACAACCAAACATTTGACAAAAAATATAAATCTACAGTAAATTATAAAGTATAGTAAAAAAATATAGATTTCGAAATTTAAAATAACAAGTTTAGGTTTGAACCAAAGATCAATGGCAGTATTTCTCTTTACAGAAAAATCTCTGAAAATCATGAGTGGTTTATTTAATTTTATTTTAAAATACATGTGCAAATGTAAGGTCAGAAAAACTATGCTTTCTAAAATTCTGTAGATTAGCAATTTTAAAAGATAATATTTTGTATCATAAAAGAGAAGAAAAAAGGTTAATAAAAAAAAATAATAACGAAAAAAAAATAGGTCATCATGGAAAAGTCTAACAATTTTTATAAATGGAATACTTAGAACACAAAAATAATACTTAACAAACAAAACTGCATTACGAGAAAAATAAAAACTTAAATTTGAATAATTTTACATTGTAAATTTTTTATCACAATTATTTAGTTATAGTTTAGTTATCAAATAATTAGTTAATAGTTTAATCATAAATTTTTTTTATCACAATTATTATCACAATAATTTATATCTCCCACCAACACAACATCATTCAATCAAAGTCTTCATATATTAATAGGGCTTACGGAAGATATCATTGGTTTCTTTCATTTCTTTTTTGGTCAGAACATTGGCAGGAAAGAGCTTGACAAGAGGAATGATGTCCTCTTTGGTGATCTTTTGAGCTGGTTGAAGCTTAAATAGTGGAACTTTTCTACGGGGCTCAAATGCAGGAATGACTTTTACAAGTGGTGTCATTTTAGAGCATGAGTCATTACCACAAAGTCCAATAAGAGTACACATTCCTTTGGTATCCTGAAAATAGCAAAGAATGCACCTCATTCTCAAATATGTATGCTGGGAAAATATTTTGAAATTTTGTTACAATAAAAACAAAACAAATAAGAAAAAAAAGATGGATTTTTTTTTCCAAGAAAAAAGATAAGTTTAGAAACAAATTTTTATTTTTTTTATTTTATTATTAACTAAACTCAGAGGCGCGACAGCTCTCGAGGGTCAAGGCCTACTGTGCCCATCTCAGTTTTCTTCACCTTGGGCTCTGGGGTACAGGAGCAGATGTTCCGGTCAGGTGGTCAGTCGAACGCGGAACCCCCAGTGTTTAGTTTCCAAGCATGCTTGGTACTCATTTATCGATTCAACGAAGGGGTGAAAGGCTGAGTCAACTTTGCCCGGCCCGAGGATCGAACCAGGGACCTGCGGCACGCCAGCGCGGAGCGCTACCGCTCAGCCACCGGGCGTCATTTTAGTATTGTACACTGTAAAAAGATAATCCTTTTTTTTTTTAAAGAGGGGCTTTAATGGCCTTTACAGTAAATACAGTATTGTAATTATAATAAAAATTTAACTCCATAGATAATGTTGGAAGATAAGAAGAAAAAAAGACTATCTAATTTAAATAGAGTAGAATATATTTTAAATTGATCAACTACAAATTATTGTACAATACAGAACCCGTTATCCGGAAATCAGAAAACCGGAAAACCAAAAAACCGGAACGAAATCCGATTAGTTTTCCCGTCATTTTAAAAAAAAAAAAAAATTTTTTTTTTTTCCTCATAAGATTTTAGAATTTTTCGTTCTTTTTTGAAAGATATTTACCTTACCATCATTTTGGAAATAATCATTAGTGTATTACTTCATTGTTTTTTCTTCTTTTTAAGATTATTTCCAATTTTTTTTCTTTTTTAGTTGGGGTTTAACTATAAAAAAAAAACAGCTTTTTGTAGCGATTCAGAAAACCGGAAAAAAAAAACAGTTATCGGGAATATCGATGGTCCCGATCGTTCCGGATAATCGGTTCCCTACTGTACTATTATTTAACTTCATTATCAAAAACATTTTTTTTTCTCCAATGAACGTAAATTTCTATCACTTTCACCAAAATCTTAATAAACAGAATATAATTTTACATAGAATATCCTCTAGCGATTTATTTTTTTAAAATGAGTGTCGAAGAAAAAGAGGAGGAAAGAAAATTTAGTTAAGTTTTTCATACATGTTTGTTTGATTTATTTAAAGCTTTAAATATACAATAAAATTTTGAAATATTTCAATTCTGTAAATTAAAAAAAAGCTTACATAATCAAATTTAATGAAGAATAACTAATGTTTGAAGTAGAATTATTTATCCTAGCAGAACAACTAATGTCCAAGACATGATGAACATTTGAAATGCTATTAACATACATTTACACATAATTTAATTTGATTTGCTACATAATTTAACTTCTTTTGCAAAATAAAATTATTTTTCATTTAAAAATACAGCACTAGTTAAAATGGTGAGAATGGTTTATTTTCCATGATAGCTGCAGAACATTTGTAATGATTAGAAGTTTTGTTTCGGAACATTAAATGTAATACTGCTCCTGGTTTTCTATTTAAGAATACAAAAAATATATAGTAAGCATCATTTAAAATCAGTGAAGAAATTCATTCATAGAAACCTCAATAAGCAAATCCTTATTTTTTTAAAAAGAAGTTTGAAAACTTTCTTTTATAAGCAAATGAATATTTTAGGATAAAAAGCTATTAAAAATAACATTTCAAAAACTAAAACAACTTTTAAATGCCAAACATAAAATAATTTACACAACAAAATTAAACAAGAAGCAATAAGAAACCCAGATAATTCAACTTACCAATTTTCTGATGTAATCAAAGAGCTTGTCATAATAATTATTGACAAATGAGGTGCACTAAAAACAAAAAATGTACATAAGTACATCATTCTAAATCAGCTAAAGAAAAAGTATTTTAAATTTAAAAAAAAAAGAGTTCTTGGAGAAAAAAAAAAGAGAATATTTTAAGAACTTAGAAAACTGTGAAAAATAAAAAAAAAGACAAAAAAAAAAAAAAAAAAAAAAAAAAAAAAAAAAAAAAAAAAAAAAAAACCTATAAGTGTGTAAAAAAATAATAATAATAATAAAAAAGATTAAAAAGAAGAATTAAAAAAAGGATTAAGAAAAAAAGACAGTTTTGAAAATCAAAATTTAAATTAAGAGTTTCAGAATTCTGCTTTCAAAATCTTCATGTTCGAGACTTATCCAGCATGAATTAATAAGAACTTACCACAAAAACAATATATAACCAACAATTAATAATCTAGTTAAGTATATAGAAAAAATACCTTTGTTGAAAATGATCCAGTGTGTTTGCAGAAGTTCAATAAGGCAGTTCTAAATTCTTCCTGCAAATAAAAAANAAAAAAAAAAAAAAAAAAAAAAAAAAAAAAAAAAAAAAAAAAAAGCCATTATTAAAGCCTGAGATTTAAAAAAAAATATATTGTAATCAAAACTTTGGAAAATGTTCATCAATTCAACATTAAATAAAATGTCTTTGTATAAATGTTCAAAATACCAGTAATTGATTTTTCCCAAAATGTAACATTATCAATCTTAAGTGAGAGAACAATGACTGTTTGTAGTGTACTTTGTGTAACAAAATTAATCAAGATATTATAAACAAACTTCACTTTCAACATTTTCTCTCTTTTATGTCTAAAACTAGCTCCTAAAATAGTCTTGAAAAAAATATGGGAAACATAAACTCTTAAACATCAAAATTGGGTAACAGTAATCAAGTAAGTGGCTCTATCTCAAGGTTGCTACCCAAAGCTGGAAAAAAAAATTTTTGAGTTTTCCCTGTACACATTATACATAATATACTAAGAGGAACACAACATTGACTGTGCTCTTGTTGGCTATATTGGGCTAACTATATTTATTAGTTTTAATTGCAGGAAAAACTTATAGAAAAAAAAAAAAGGAACGGCTGAACATCACTTAACACATTCGCTGCCACTAAAAATGATATTTCAATCCTCAGAAGCCGGATTACAAAACAGGGTTTTAATGTTCCTTATATTTTACTAGGAAAACCTGAAAAACTAAGAAATATATTATTTTCCTGTTTCGAGAGCGTTTTTTTTCCCGACGCTCTGGAGCGTCAGTGGCACACAGACTCAACCTGTCTTCGTGAGTGCCATTGAAGCTCCAGCGGGTCTGATCAATATTCTCAGAAATTACTGGCATATTGCATAAAATAGCAGCTTAAAAGGAATAAATCGGACTACCATTCAAGTATATGTAGTACCATTTATGAAATAATACTGAAAATATTTACAAATAATAAGCACAATATACAGATATTGGCAGTCACATAAAAAAATTCAAACAAAAGTTTTGAAAACCAACCACAAAAAATAAAAAAATAATGCTTGACTAGCGTGCTGAAACAACCTCTCCGTTCAACTACCAAAGCCACACTAACGCAGAGCATATAACTTATCATAGTCGACCGACACGCTTGCGCATCGTCAGCACAGCAGAAGGTGCCGCTCTGATGCGCTAGTGCGTCGGTGGCAGCGAACGTGTTAAATAATGCTAATAGCATTAAATGAAATAGTTTAGTATTGCTGAAATATCATGCTTAAATATCCCATAGATTAGACTTTAAGAGGTCATGATTTTTTAAAAGATGAAAATAAAAAACAAAATTCCCTGTTATTTTAGGTGATTTTTAAATTCCCTGTATTTTTAACATTTTCTCTGTTTTTCTTGTGAAGTGGGAACACTGTTTCTGTCATTACAGTTTTATCCTCACTTAAAGTCTATGTTGAAACTAAAAATCTCTGCTTTATATCCACGTCTTTATGGGTTCTTTGTTTCCGCCTCTCACTTCCGATTTAAAAACCTAAATGCTCATACCAATAAATTTGACAAGCCTGTTTTTTTCAATATGTTTAGCTGCTGCAACATAATGTTTCCAAGCTTTAGATAACAACAGTTTCATGTCTAAGCTTGATAGTTTAAAGTGATTTCTTCAACCTCATCACAACTTAGACAAATCTTAACAACTTAGACTTTTTTTTAAAAACATAAGTGTTTATAATTTTTTTTAAAACATAAGTGTTTATGACACAAGTGTCTCCTATAAAATACGAAGCATATGATAAGTTTTATGATAAAGCTTACATGCATAGCTGCCAACATTGATAGGAAAAAATCCAGTAGATTTTACGAAATGATATGAACTTCATGATAATTGTTGCATGATGTACTAAATATTTTACACATAGGAAATTTCAGGGATCTTTACAGTCATCAAAACAGAAAAATTGCAATATTGTCCAGTTCACGGTTTTGATCGCTCTTGTGTTGCTAATAACAGTCAAGTGTATACATGGCAACATTGTGTGTGATCGAGAATGAGTAGCAACAGCGCGAGGAGGTGGATAATGTTGCAATCACAAGTAGCAATGTGGACCATCCATCGAAGTATGTGTGTTCAAATCATAGTGGTAATCATCATTCTGCCAAGGTAGGTGTGTTCATATCAAGTCCGAAAGTTACCAATGTGGGGATAGTAGATATGCCAATATCAACCTTCATCTGTGAAAAGGTACCCCAACATAGAATTGAGTTAACATGTATACTATTGAATTGAAATTGTAATTTTGAAGTGGCAGACACACTGCATTCTTTTTTAAAATAATTATAAAATGTACCATCATTTTACAATGTACTTCATGAATTGATGATATTTCTTAAACTTTTTACAAGCCATTGAAAATGCTAATCAAAATCACATTCGCAGAGATGACAAGAATCTGCAATAGAAACTCACATGAAGCATAAAAACTGAAACTACTTACTTCAGTAGTGTTTGTTGTCATCAAATCCTTAACGTGTTCCAAAACATGGTAACAGAATTCACAGGTCAGTTCATCTTCTACTTTTGGGTTTTCCTATTGGAAAAAGGTTAAAACATACTCTCTTAAGCACAATATTAAGAATTGTATCACACAGAATAGCCTAAGAAAATAAGTGCCAAACTACGAATTTCGAAGAAAAAAATTCGAGTAAGAAGAACAAAGAGTCAGAAGTCACAAGTTTGAAAAACCACTGAAAGAGGGAGAAAAAACTTAATTGATTCAGAAAGGAAAGTTAAAGTTTTTAAGCTCTGAAAAAAAAATTGTGTTTTCTTTCGTTTTTGACTTTTTTATTTGTTTATTTTAAAGTTTATTTCAAACATTTACAAATAATTTAAAGATAAATTTACATATTGTAAGTGCATTTATTGTGTTTGCTTTCACCCTCATTATGCAAATGTTTTTGATTGGACATTAAATATATGCTTGTATGTATAAGACAGATCAAGATTAGATATATATATAAACGTATGGAACAACTATAGCTGTTTTATGATGTTCATGTATACTCACTCTCGTGGATTGTTTTCCTTTTAAAAAGGTATGCGATGTTTCAGTTCAGTCATATTTTTTCCTTTCTTAATAAAATTCCTTACTAAGTTCAAAGATGATATTTTCATTATGCTTGGTTAACATTTTCCACAACGCACTCAACTTTTCCGGCAATAAGTTTGTACGGATGAATATAGAGTTAACAATAGCAAGATGGTTTACTGCGCCAAACAAAAACATTTTGGCGTATTCAATGTTATATAGAAATGAGATATCACTACGTTTACAAAAAGAAAGGATATTTTTAGGGAAAATAAATAAACAAAACTAGACTTAAACTACATCAGGGGTTCCCAAAATATAGACAAAGAGATCATCACTGACCAATCTGGACCACAGTAGCATTCATGACACGCTAGGTATCTGACAAACCACAGTTAATTTTTATCACATTGTAAAATTTACAGCATGAATAAATCTTACAAAATAAGCTAAAGAAATCTGTATAAAATAATGCTTACCAAATCACAGTTCTTTGTACAAACTCCAGCAGATATACATACGGTCAAGGCAGGCTATAAAATATAAAAATAAAAACAAAAAAAACTGTTTTAAATATAAATTAATAAAGTTGAAAAAAATATATAGTATGAATAACATTAATTTCCAGGAAAATCAAATTTTAAAGAAAAATAATTATGTTTACATTCTACAAGTAACAGTAGAACGTTTGCTAGTAGAGTTACTAGCTCAGTAATAGAAAAATTTCTTTTTAAAATGATTAATACATAACAATTTGGCATAATACTACTTACAGTGGCTTTTAAATAGGTATAAATATCAGGCATGTAGTGTTTAATGACCAAGTCACACTAAAAAAGAAAATATATATATATAAGCCGAAAATAAATATAGACTACTATAAAAGAGCTTTAACTAACAAAAAACTTTATAAATAGTTCACACATAATTATTAAAAAGTAAGAGACGCACTTAAACGCACATTGCAAATGGAAACATAAGAAATACTTACTAAATAAGATGGCATCTTTTGGAAACAGAATTTTTCAAGGTAATTGGCAACTTCAGACTTAAAAAAAGAGAGGGAATTATAAACTACACACATTAGCCAAAAAGAATTAAAACAATTCATTGTAATTAAATGTTACTTAGAATTTACACAAAGAGAAGAGTATAGTACATACAACATAAAATATGATATATAAAGATATTAATGTAACAGATTCAACATAGAAGAGAATAATAAAATATACTTTAATATATACTTAATTGTAAAGTTAATGAAGATCATAAAACATTTTTAAATTAGAAAAGTACTATTTAGGTTTTTGTTAAAATAGCTAAATATTAAAATAAAAATAATAATAATAATAAATAAATAAAAGTAAGCATTTTAAAGGTTTTTTGTTTTGTATAATGATTGATCTACATTTTATTTTATAACTCTGACCTTTCAATTTCTCTTCTGCCCTAACTGTTGTGACTTTTCAAACAAATATGTTATTAGGGTGTTCAAATGTTATTCAGGTTCACAAATGTTCTTCAGGGTATTCAATTTTTTATTTTGTGCTTTGTGCAAAATTTTAACTAGTATTTAAAATTAAATAGCAGCAAAAAATAAAGTTAAATACTTATATCCTTTTACATGTAATAATTGCAACTGATAATTTTTTTAGATATAAATTCTGACACCAAATATGATAATCATAGATATAATCATATGATTCTACACACTGGAAATTTTAGGAATTTTTAAGGTCAATAAAATACAATAACTTCATTACACTAATAAAATATAAATGGTTTGCAATATTTTACATTTATGATCACTCATAATTTTGAATAGTAATAGACATTTAATTCATTAAAGATAGATTAATTCTTTAAAGATTTAATTAATTAAAAAAAGAAGTTCTGAATAAAAATAAGTAAAAAATTTTAGAACAAGAAAAAAAATAATAAATAAAAAAGCTTTAAACTGATTACAATTCATTATGTATACTTATTTCAACATTTAAACAAGCAATAAAATGTGTTAACATTTTTTTGAATAGGGATTTTTTGGGAGGATTTACTCAATTTTAGGGAATTCTCAAGAATGCACAAAAACCAGGAGAAATTTTATTAAACCAGTAGACCAGGAGAAACTGGCAAAATCCTGCAGTGTTGGTAACTATGGAAAAAGTCTAAAAAAAAAGTTTCATAAACATAGGACTATCTAAGAACCTGTGCAAACCCTGCAAAAATTTTCATTTATTTGAACACTTACTTTATTAAAAAGTAAGCACTAAATAAAACACTTTTAAATAAAGAAGTTTGTAAATCAAGTTTTATCTTACTTCAGGAGTATCCTTCAAAAATCTCTGGGCATCAGTTACTAATGATTGACATTCAGCACATTTGGAAGCTTTGTCCTTTGAAAGAATTATTTCTACAATTTTCAATATACGATGCTGCAGAAGAAAAATGAAAACAAAATGTTTAGAAATAAATTAAATAACTAATACTTAAATGCAAATTTAAAAAAATTAAATCACAATTAGAATCGTCACTATAGAAAAAATATTTAAACAAAATTTGTTACAACAAATGAAAAAAACCATGAATTAGATTTTAGTTCTATTTAAAAAAATGCTAGTTCTATTTAAAAAAAATGCATGTAAATTTCTTTGATCTAAGGATAGTCAGCAATTAAGTTTTAATTAAAAGAGCACCTTTAGAGAAAATTATGCAGTTACTGTAAAAATTCGGAATTCAAATAGTTAATTTTTTACAAATATCAATACATATTTTCAATATTTACAAAAAAATTTAAAAATTACTTTTTTTAAAAAAATTAGTACATATAAAACTTAATAATAAGGTATTAGTGTAAGGATAGTTGTTTAAAATATAGCTTTAGATTTTCTTTTTTTTTGTTATACTAATTGGTTTAGAAAAAGGATTAAAATTTAGACAGCTTTACATTTTAACTCACAGTTAAAAGTTATTTACAGGATTTTTTTTTCATTTCAGTTGCCTACAATTAAACGGAAAATAAGTATGAAGACATTAAAAAATATTTTTAAAAAAATCTTCAATCATAAAAAGTGTTAACTATAACTATATAAATAAGAAACATTAATGAAGTTTTCACACACAGCCTCAGAAATTAATAAGAACAAGGGCTATTGAAATAGTTCTGATGCAAAAAAAAATAAAAATTTATAGGCTAAGGTAAAAGGTTTGATAGTAATTAGAAGATACACATAAAATATCGAAAGTAAACTGTTAACAGGGTTCGTTCTAGGCAGAGCAGGGCGTCCCATTTTATTTCATTTTATAACCGCCATTGAACAGCTGGCCCAATTCTGTTGTTCAACCCCATAGCCTTGTAATTTTGAGCCCAATCCAGATGACAAGGGAACTCCTGGATCAAGTATTGGGAGATATTTGTCTCCTCTTGCATTATATAGAGAGGAAAACCACAAAAAACTCCCATGGTTCGGCTGACGGCAAGGGTACACGAATTGTCTAATACTAAAGATATTTTATATCAGCACAGTGGTCAGTGCAGAATTTGAATCGACCAGCCATCGCTGGGATTTGTACCCAGTTCACTTGATTGGAAAGCGAGCGCTCTATCCCTTGAGCCACTACAGCATTATGGATGCCCTATGAAACCTGATTATACGCTATATTAAAGATGGGGAAAAGGTTACCAGGATTTTTTTTTTTTTTGTACATCCATGTGGTTTTCTGATGCTTTTTTGGCAGTAATAAATTGTGTTTCGGCCGTGATTAATCTTTTTTTTTAATTGATTCCCAATGGTTTTTAACATTCCAACATCTGACAAGAGGATTTTGCACTTGAGTTATAACTTCTTTGAAGCGTTTGATTCCTGACAAGATTCCATCGCAGTTTCACGTCATCTGATAATATCTGGAAGCTATTTATCACTTTAGCGACCCTTTTCACATGGTTTCTCAAATTCCACATTTTTAATATGATGTTATTACGACATTAAATTACTGACAATTCCATTGCAATTTCCCATTGATGGATAATATAAGGTCGTTGTTGGATAATGTAAGATTCTATAATGCTAGATTATGTATCGGGATACATTTAATATGTCATCACGACACGTGAATTTTGAATTTGAGTTATCATTTAAGGCGTTTGATTCTCGATGAATCCATTGCAAATCCACGTTGTTTCTGGCCATTTTCACTAGTTAATTTCTTAGTCTGATAACTTTTATACAATGCTATTACAACAAGTAATTTTCAGATTTAAGAAGGCACTTTTTGATAGGCTCACTTTAGATTAATATTTCGCAAATCCACATCATTTATAAATCGTTTTTTGGCAGCTGTTCTGATCTAATTTGATTTTGATTCTGATGTAATTTATACAATTATGGCTAGCAAATTTCATATTTTAGTCATCACTTTTTCACATGCTTGATTGGCGACAATTTCAGCGGAAGTCCACATTAATTTGAGATTGCTTTCTCAGCAGTTACTTATCATTATCATTTACTTATCATTCATTAGCAATTACTTATCATTTTTTGATTAATTTCCAGACCATTTTTAAAATCCCGATATATTTAATAAATTAGTATTACAACACGCAATATTACGCTTATTTTAAAACTAATTTATAGAATGTGTGAATTTAACTGCAGAATTATTTTTAATTTAAGCTAGTTATCTTAAAAATAAAAAGATTTCCTTAATGATAAAATTAAAAACTTTGTATATTTCAGGAGCTTTATCTTTGTGAACAATGCTCTTTTTTGTGATAGGTACCCTTTTCAGTTTTTAGTGCCCTGCCTTTTAAAAGGTCTAGAATAAACAATGCTGTTATATCCTTTAAAAAACATAAAGAATCCCTTCAATTGATAAAATGAGTAATATTAGATAAAAGCAAAGATTTATTAACACAGAGATGATTATGCCAATTTGAAATTTATTTGTATATAGCAGACTGAGAAAATAAAATCAACTAGGCATAACTAATTTTTAATGAGCTAGACAAATAACTGTAACTCATAAAAAATTTTTTAAAAAAAAACTACAGTGGAGCATCGTTTATACGACGATCACTTATACGACGTTTACATTTATACGACGTTTTAGTATGGTCCCAAATCATTCATATTCATTTTAATGTAAAATATATCGTTTATACGACGCACAGAATCGGTTATACGTCGGTTTTTGGATTTTGTTCACGTTTATTTAATTTTTTTATTTTTTACTTGTGTATTTTAAAAAAGGGCGGAATTTGCCAACATGATTGATACAGAAAAGGGTGCCAACAAGAATGCTTAGATGAAGAACGTAGTTTTTACTAGATGACTTAAAAAACTTGACAATGTTATGAAGATGCAAAAACGAAAAATTTTGATCGAAACGAAAAAATTATTCATCGACCTATGTCCAGCGCACCCATCGGATACTAATTATTTTGGAAAATGTAAAAGTTCTCTTTTTTCCTGCAAATTGCACAAGTGCTCTTCAGCCATTAGATTTGGCCGTGAATAGAAATCTAAAATTGCATCATAGAAAGCAGTAAGTTCAACTCGCTATTCAAAGCATTGTAGAGACTAATCGCAAGAACATATAATTAAAGGTAACATACATTCAAATTGCTCACTGCAATTTTTCTACTTTGGTTATTTGTTTGTTTTGCTTTGTCAAATTTAGAAATTTACGTAAATCAACACGTTAAACATTAAATTTAACTGAAAACAGAGTTAGTTTCAGTCTTAGAAGTAAAAATCGTTTATACGACGTTATCGTTTATACGACGTTTTTCGGTGGTCCCTTCGGCGTCGTATAAACGATGCTCCACTGTAATTATGAAAGATTTTTTTATAAAGTTAAATATCAATCTATGTTAAACAAAACAAAACAAAAACATTACAAAATACTAATAAAGATATGCATTTATTAAAAATTTTAAAAAAATTAACACAAGTTTTTCGTATACAATACTTACTTCAGCAGGTGTGCCAGTTGAAAAGCACATTCCTGAAACAGTGCACACCATTGTGGGATCCTAGACAAGGGAAGAAAAAAAAATATTTTATGTAAAATTAATTTAAAGTGACTTAAGCTTATTAGCAAATTTGCTTTTCCCATATCAGATAAATATGATTCCATTTCTCACTATCAATAAACTCCATGCTTAGCTTTTACACAAAGCATTTTATTACTTGAATTATTAAAAAAAAGCATTTATTTAAATTTGAATCAAGTAAAATTAAAATTTGTTTACTTTTAGTGTTTTATATGTTTACTGAAAAAAAGAGTGATACAAATACTATTGAGTTTTTTGTAACTCTTTCTATATGCTACAAATAAGTTCATATATATCATTTCAAAATAATTTTTAATTTTCCACTATTGATCTCATCATTGTAAAAAAAAAATGCACAGTTTAAGTGTAATTTAAACTTTATTTAGTTTCCTACTACCCAAAGAACAATTTTCTAAAAAATTTAACTTCAATTGCTTTACTATCTTTTTTAATTTATCTAAATTCTAAAATGAGAAACTCAACAGGAGAATTCCTGTTAAGTTTTCCAGGAGAAGTGAAGAAACTAAATTATCTGATTTCTGCATTAACCAAGGTATCGTATATTTCATGCCCTTTTTTTTTTTTTTTGCTTCTCCATTTTTAAAATTTCTAACCCTGTCAACCACCATTGAAAAAAAAAAATTCTGAACCACATCTCCAAAACACTCCAGAGTTCAAAATCCAACACCACTCTTTTTAATGACAATCGCTAATATTGTCAATAAAGAAAATGAATCTTGCAATGATGATGACAACAGTGCCAATTCAAATTGGTGTAAACGTATCTCCCATAAAGATGATATTAAAGCAATTGAAAGCAATATTGAATATATAGAACAACAAACAGCAACAACAGCTATCACTATATTAACTCTAAAAACATGGTGTAACATTGCAGAAAATGCATAATTAACATAAAATAAAAACAATTAGATGTGTTGCTTATTAGATGTGTTGCAACTTTTATTAGATGTGTTGCAACTGTATAATTTTTGTATTTTTAAAATACACATTTAATCCAAAACATTTTTATTTTTATTTTTGCTTAAACCAAGTTTTTCTGTTATCCAAGATAGTCTAGGTCCACATTAACTCTCGAGGGTGTGTATGTATGTATTACATAATAGTTTAATTATTTATATATAATAGTACATAAGATCCCAGTAATCTTGCATGAAAAAGCTAAATCACCATCAATCCTTATAATTTCTTTCTACTAATTTTTACACATTTTCTAAAATCAGGGATGAGATTAGCCAAAACGTAAAAAAGCTGAATTTCCACGATAGTAAATTTCACGCAAGCGCAATCCTTTAATAATAAATTCCAGGCAGTTTAAGGTAATAAATAATGTGTTGACATACAATTGTGTACTAATCTATTATTATAAAAACGATTACATTGATACTTAACATTTAGTGAAAAAAAAATTACCAATTGAAAAAATAAAGCTGGAAATTATATTTTTCCTCAGTTCACATAAGAGACAATTACTACTTGAAAAACTACCTGGTTTAGCAAATTAAAACTACTGAGAATATAAATTAATATTTCATTCCTTTTAATAAATACTGTTATGTGATTTATAGCAAATATATCAGTAATATTACTTTTTAAATTATATTGGAAAAAAAAACTTTAACAATGGACCGAATCATTATGTTCATATTATAGTCTAATCTAACTACAGCCCTCTGAAACATATCAATAACAGTGAAGTAGAAATATATAGTAACTCCTTAACATACAAAAATTGCTATTTTAGTTTGAAAAATTACATGACAATCAGCAACTGTTTAGATAATTGTTTTTTATTTGATAAGAATTTTGCATTTTATAGCATAAATAACAGCAATTATAAATAAAATTTTGATGATTAGTTAATTAACTCTTTTTCCCCCCAAATTTTTTTTTAATTAAATCCCTTTTTAAGTGATTGCTTTTGTTTGCTATATCTTTTATGTTTGCTATATTTAGTCGTTAGTCCATCTTCAAACATCTTGTGACAAATCCTATTTTTTCTTCTTTGCAAGCACAGAATGTAAGTTTTGAATATATTCCCTTCCAGTTTCTCTGATGTTGTAACACTTACATATACTAATAATCGTCGTTAGAAAAACAGTCACCTTTATAGTAACTAATATTTAAAAAAAAATTTACTTCTTACAAGAATCGCGATAGTTGATCTTAAAATTGCGTGAATATGAATAACAATTATGGATTTTGAAATCACATGAATATGAAACTAGATATACGATTTTGAAAATGAGAAAATACAAACTGGGATATAGAATTTTTAAAACGCGTAAATACAAATCACGATTCATAATTTTTAGATCGCGTAAATACGAATCATGATGCGTAATTTTTAGATTGCATAAATAAGAATTATGATGCATAATTTTTAGAATGCGTGAATGCGAATCCCAATGCCTTATTTTAAAATCACGTATAAATACGAAAATCAATGTTTGATATTATAAACCGCATGAGCAAATCAACACATTGAATTTTAAACTTGCGTGAATACGAATCGCTACATAGGTTTTTAAAAAGACGTAAATACGAATCACAATATCGGATTTTTAAATCTCGTAAATAAGAATCGCAACGTACAATTTCAAACCGCGTGAATAAGAATCGCAACACGCAAATATGAAAAGCTATGTTTGATATTAAAACCCTGTGAATAATAATCGAGATATTAGCAGATTCCAGGCTTGGGACCTCTAAAAAGTTTGTCAGAAGCAGCGTCGTTTGAACTATGAAAATTGGATCTATCTGGAGGGCGGGTAAAAAATTCGGAAAATCTTATCTGCTGCGTGTAAAAGGGGAGAAAATAGCTATAATAAGTAAAAATGAGAAAGGATTGGTAGCTATGTAGTTTGAATTTTCTGAAAAGGTGGAATACTTATAAAAAAAATGAAATTTTTAGAAAATCTGAATTTTTGATAAAAAAGCTGAAATTTAAGAGATAAAAGTGAAAAAAGCGGAAATCTGCTAAAAAGCGGAAAAATCTCATCCCTGTAAAATGCTTGATTGAAAATTATCAAAAATGTATTCGTGTTTACATTTATCAAAATGTTTCTTTCATTACCTTATTGTACTCTTAACTTTATAACTATAAACAAACTATAAACAGTGATTTAATAGGCACTGAAATAAGTACTTTGAAATATCATCTTAAATATACTAAAATATAAACGAAATACATAGTTAATACATTAGTTAATGAATGTGAGTTTTAGCATTGTCTTTTATCATATATTAACATCAAAGTCTATAATCTTCTCTATAAATATATAAATTTACAGCTCATAAATCATGAAGTTTTATTCCTTTGAACAAAATTAAAAACTATCAGTCATTTAATTAAATTAAGTTTTATGTAACATATGTATAAACATATGTAATTATGTAACATATGTACAAATGCTTACCATTCTTGATGCTAGCATTTCAACAAGTTGAGGGATAATTTCATCAACTACCTTAATGCACTAAGAAATGAAAGAAAAAAGGATTATTTTTAACAAACAACATTATAAAAATTTATGTCAACAAATATTAACCAGTCCAATAAAAGAAAGTTTAAAGAAGAACATGAAGGCAACAGTGTCATTTTCGTAGTCATCTCAGAAACACAATTGAATTAAATAAAATCGTTGACACAAACTTATAAAAAAAAATTTTTTAAATATAAATTCACATAAATAAAGCAAAACAAGTGACAAAAAAAAGCATACGAATAAAGGTTTATTTACATAGTCTCGCTTTATTAATACATAGCACTAAATATACCTTTTAATTATTTGGGCAAATTTAATTACTTTTAAAAATTTGCGATTATCAGAAAATGCAATCGATGAAAACATAATCAATAAAAATGAATAAACTAATATAAATACAATTTTACAACATACAAGTTATTTTAAAACAAATTTCGAAGAAAAGAAGAAAATAAACTAATTAGAAAAACTTACAGCATCTGCAACAAGCTTAATAGGCAATAATTTACAACTTCCTTCAAATACTTCTTTAATTTCCTCCTAAGTGAAACAAAATAAATAAATAAATATAATAGATAATTTTACTAAATTAAAATAAATATTCTGAATGTATGAAATTTATAAAAAAGAAAAAATACTAATTTTAACTGGTGAATATGTATTAATGTGAAAATTTTATTTTTTATGTTACTTATACTTATAATAAAATAGTTTATTAATAAAAATAACAAGAATAAAATATTAGATAGTTATTTCAAAAATTAAGCTCTGATTATAAGGTAGAAATAGGACAGTCTCAAAATGGGATTTTTTAAAGCCATTTGATCTTTATTAGTAAAAATAGACCAAATATATAAGGCAGGACATTTTTCACTATTATTTTCTTATATAAAAAAAAAAATAACATTCAGATAAAATTTTACAAAATATTCAAAAATTAGTAAAGTAGTTTTTAAAAGAATAAACTTACATTGGTATAAATTCACAGATATTTCATAAAATTTTAATAGTCATGATTTTATAAAAACTCTAATATGGGAATATTTGCTGAAACTTATCAATTAAAAAATCCACAAAAGCACATCTTAGAAATAAAACTTAACAGATTCTTATTTCATAAAGCTTCTCAATTAGATCTTTATAAGCTTAGACAAAATATGGCAGGGGTCTGTCTAGGTTTTTCTGAGAGGTACCTATTTTGTGAAAATTTAGATATAATTTGTGAAAAATTAAAAATTATATTAAAAAAATCAACACAAAAATTTGGATTTATTGTTTCTTAAGGGATACAAAAATAAAATTTTAAGAAAAAGTATTTTGTGAAATTTCCTAAAATTGAATTTGTGAAGGTACCGCTAAACGGTAGTAAATTCGGCCTGGAGAGACCCCTGTATGGTATTTAAATATACAATCAATTAATATTGACGAAGAAGGAAAAATCAAACAAAACATCATAAGAATAAATAAAAGAAATGATTGATTTACATTGGATTTTTAAAGCAGATATTTATGAATTTTCCAATTTTAAAAAACTATGATTTTTATTAGGCCTTTTAAAAGTTAACTCCTGATTATTAATTCTTGATGAAGAAAAAAAACAAAACCTTGTTAAATAAAGGAATTATTGCTTGTTCTACATGAATACTGAGAAAATATATGCATAGTTATAATAAACAGTAAAATAATTGCCTATATAAGACACATAAAAATGCACAATTAACTAAAACAAAAATATAGCTTACTTGAGTCATATTACTCAGCAGTTGATCCCTAGCTTCCTTTACCATTTCTTTGCAAATATCACACACTTCATCCTGTAATAAAAAAAATAAATAAATAAAAAAAAAAAAATTATTTATGAAAAATATTTAAGTGAATTAATAATGATTTTCATAGGTTTTTAAATTAAAAAAAGTTAATTTAGTAGCTGTAAAATTTTTTTGCCTCTTACATTAAATATTTCAACCACTGACTCGGAAAAGTATAACTTTTACATTTACATTGCTTAAGAATATTTATTTTAATGTTTTTGTGTTATGTTAGGATACAGTTATTTTTTACATCTGAATACCTACCTTTTCTCCACCAACCCAAAACTTGAAAAGAAAAAAGTATAATGTAACCTCCTATTACACTTACACTTTAGTTTATTTAAGCATATTTTAAATTAAGTACGCTAACAATTTAAAACCCAATATTCATGTTAAGATTTATAAGATTTTTTAATCAAAATACTTATTTTTATTTATATATTACTCATAACTGAAATAGAACATTGTTACCAATTGTACCCACTTACTATTACAAAAATATTATTTCTATAAAGTAAAAGAATACTTTATAGTCTAGGTGTTTAAGTTGAGATTTATAATTTTTTTTATTTTTTGGTCAAATGATTTATTCATATTTAAAAACCAAGCAAAATTTAAATAGAAATAAATATAATGTTTTGTTTTGCCCTAACACTTTGCCCTATTTAAGCAGCATTATTTGTAAAAAGCATTAAGTAAAACAACACTTTATATTTCAAATTTACGCTTTATACTTTGAATAAAATATAACACTTTATTACCTTTTAAGCTCAAAAGGCAAAATATAAGGACAAAAATATATTGCTTAAAAAATTCAACTGCAAATTGTAGAAATGCAAATGAAATTTATGAGTCATTAAAAAAAAATAATAAATATATAAAATGTGAAACCTTCACAAACTCAATTTAAAATTTTCAAAAGTTTACAGAAAATATGTATAGGTTGGCATCTTTGTTGACTAAGTAAAACTCTAACTGAGACGATATTTGTTGGCAAACTTAAAACAGCTTAAAAATGTTCTCATATTATGAAACAGACTTACATTAGGTTCAGGAACTCGGATGTTAGACCATACATCATGGATGCAATCGCTGACAGCATTGCATAGCCTTGCACTTGCCAAATCCTGGCAAGCAAAAGTAGGATCTTTACATTGTGGAGGAACACCTCTGCTTAGTCCAGGAATATGTGGGAAGGCTGTCACAGCTGGGGGAAATAAAACAAATCAAAAAAACATGTCGAACTGAATGGAGTAGTTGAAACAAAATAAAAAGACATTTTTACATTACATCACACAGATCTGGCCAGGTTTCCTTGTCATTTTTCATCAAATATTTAAGACCAGCAAGTAAATCTCATTTTCTAAAATAAGGGTGCATAACTCGTTTGAGTGAAGGGTCACTTGCACAGCATGTAGATTAATGAAGGGTCGAACGCGTATTTAGTCACGTTAGCGGCAAATATGATAATTTTCATCTAAACATTAGTGTTCTAAGCACCAAATATTTTTATCAGTAAATTTAATAACATATTTACGGAAAATTGAATACTTTTAATTATTTGAATTTATTTAAACTAAAAGAAACTAATAATTTTTTTAAGATACATATATATAAACATATATATAAATACATATTATACATATATATAAATATTGGGAGGGGGGACATAAATCCTAACACAAATTAAGTTTACAAAATGTAAGTGAAAAAAATAGGCATTTAATAGAGTAATATAAATTTGAATTAAATATTTTAATAAGAGAAAGTTTATAACGTTTAAACAAAAATCAAATTAAAAGAAATTTTTTATTTCATTTAGAAGTTCCTACGGGCTGCACATCAATAGTCAGCAGGCTGTATGTAGCCTGCAGGTCATAGGCTGTGCAGCCCTATTCTAAAATGTTAAATAAACGGTGCATAAAAGTATTTTGATATTAAGCGACAACGCTTTTCATCCATTTGGAACAAAAAATGCTTGGTCATTCACTTTTTGTCTCTGAAACCATTATATTTCCTCAAATATGGAAAACTGAAAAGAACCTTGTTTTGATTTAATATTATAATTGCTTTAAATGTTTTTATTTTAAAGTTCTTGCATTGTTTTGATGGTTTTTGCCATGATAAAGTTTGCACTACATGTTAACATTTTAAAATTTGTTATATATTCGCAAATAAAAATTTTAGTCTGGCTAATATCTTTATAACTGGAATTTCATACCCTGCATAAAAAATTACGTTGTGACATTTTTCTGACAAAGTAATATATCTCATTAATAATTTATTACGTTTTCATGTGAAAAGGATGTTACAATTAAATTGTTACATGTTCTTTCTTATAATGATATGCAAAAAAATGCTCTCTGTATCATACATAAACTGGACTATAACAAACTACATTTATATAAAAGTTAATATACGTTATTGATATCATTGCTTGCTTGTTTTTTTTCTTACTTCTATCTTGTCATCATGTGCCCCAGCAGATTAAGTGCTACAGCACCTTTTTGTTTAATTCATAATGTAATTATTTGTAAATACTCACAATAATTTAATTAAAATATAAGAAATGGATTGTCACTAGTTCAACTCATCATCTCTCACAACACACCAAACCCTTATTCCATCAAATCAAATTTTATTTGTTTAGTTTTGTCACTAATATCAATAAAAATTTTATTCAATGAGGAATGTCAACAAAACCATTTTTGTGTACTTGAGTAGATCTTGGATAATTTTTAGAGAGTTACTATCTTTTAGCTTTGTGCAGTTACTTCAGACTGAGTAAAACACAATTCTAAAAATGAATTCTGCATGATAAGATCTTCTTTGTGAATTATAAGGTCAACTTACCATGGATTTAACAGATTTACTCAAATATATACTGAAAAGATTCACACTGCAGATAAAATCAGAATTTTTTCTTTCTTCATACAAAGTCTTTATATTTTACAAGTTAAATCATAAAACTTTAAAAGAATATCTTTCATTTAATCAAAGATGCAAAACCTCATACCTTCATTTGCGTAGATTTTAATAAGATGAAATAATTTAGATATAAAAAAATTAATCACTTTTTTCCCATGACCAAATAATGCTGCCATAATTTTGAAGTTTACTTAAACAGCAAGGATTAAAATTTTTATATGATTTTTATCAAGCATAAAAAGAAAATTAGATACCTACTCGTTAAATTCTAAGAAGTATTATTATAATTGTTTCTTAAATTACTACTTCCTATTAGTCTTATGAATATTTTAAATTTACATGATTAATTATTAAATATAGGGTATAATAAGCACACACTTATTACTAAATGAATTTAACAATGAATATCTACATGAAATGAATTCATTTATAATGAAAAAATAATCTTATTAAGAAACATGACTTAATTGTTGCTAACAATTTTGACTATGCTTCAAGCAACATTTGACATTCATCTTTGATCACATTTGACATTCATTAATTATTAGAATACAATAGAAACCATTTGACAATGTTTCCCACTATTTCAGAGAACACAGATTCTATAGTTTTTTCAATTTCAAAATAAGTTTATTGATAAACAGGAGATCTACAAAAAAGTGAAATGTGCTAACATATTACAAAATGGAAGTAGAATTTTTAATTAAATTATTAGAATATTTAATTACGATAAATAAAACAGAATTATTTATACAATGTATTAAGTAATATATTGAAAGCCTATTTTGTTTATATTAGTATAGAAGGTCTAAAAGAGTGAGTTGCATAAGATTTTCCCTCTTAAATATATATCCATATACCTATTATGCAACCACACTACCTTACATACATTAAGGTTAAAAAACTAAAATTCAAGTGGGAACACCTTTATAAGACTCTATTACAAAAAGTATAATAATTCTGCGCAAATTACATGAAATATAAGAACAAATCCTATTAAAATCAAGAACAGCATAAATCAGTAAGTCTATTTTTTCCTACTTGCATTTTGAAAAAAAATTCTAAACTGGCTAGAATATTTGAAACCATTAAAGAGCACAAAAAATTATAGAAATAATTGTTCTATTCCTAGAAATTAAAATAAAATTAACTTAAATGCTAAACTTACCACATAAAAGTGCGCTTAAAACGCACAAAGTAAATTTCATTTTTCCCCTGATTAAATCACCATAAAAAGAGGATATAAAAAAGAAATCTATATATCCAGTCAATAGCAAATGCAACAACTGATGGTTTAACGTCTCATCAACAGCAAATATAGTATAATCAATTGGAATTATCTTGCATAAACAGCATGACTGTGAGTCGATTACAAAATCAAAACAAAAGATAATTATCGCGTGACGGTTACCGTTGCCATTATCAGATTAACAAATATGTTTATGATTTAATTTATTTTCTTTCATCATTTCATTTTTCCCCCCAAACAAAATCCTGAATTAGATTATTATTGAGAACACAGTTTCACTATCGTCAACTCGAATATTTCCTTTTTCAATAAGATAAACTTTGACCACAATTACCTTTCAAATCTGCGCAAAAGTAAGCAGACAGATGCTTTCAATTCTAGTATTGTCCTAAATGGATATGTACACCTGGAAATGCGACTCATTTTCTATATTTCTCGATAAAGTTCGTAGAACCACAATTATTCCACATATTGCACTGTTTGATCAAGAGTCCGTTATGTCGTTTACATTTGCTGCAACGTAATAGATTCACGTGACTTTTCTTCTATAACAAACCATACATTTATCCCTACAGAACTCATCGCAACTTAAATTAAAATAATTAATTTTCATTTATAACTCAGTTTTCCCTCTGTCTCCCACCTAAACCTACATTTATCAAGTGTCCACCCATTAATCTGGAAATTTTATTGTTAAAATCTAATAAAAAATTTAATAGGTTTTTTGATGCTACACCTTTTTAAAAATATTTGTTTTCAAAATTAGTTCGCATATATAATTATAATGTTATCATAAATTTTAAAATTGTTATAGGCACAGAATATTCTTTAAAAAAAATAGATCATATGCATTGAAGCATAAATTTAGCTCTCTGATTAAATTAAATTTTATAGCTTTCTCAGTTTTTATTTATTTATTACCGTAAGAGAAAAAATATTTATGTTTGTAAGAAAAATATTTATATTAATGAGTGTATCATTAAACACCATATAATTACATATTTATAAAAATATATTTAAAGAAAAAGTGGAACGTGAAATGTTTTTCCTCATAAATAAAATAAAATATAAAATTTTATTTCTATATGATGTTTATTTCAGTTTTAGTTTATTTTTTCAGTGCATTTTTACACAGCGCCCTCTCACTAGCTTTTTGAAACTGAAAAACAGATTTGTTTTTTAAAATTTCATTGGATACCTTTAAATAAAAATACTACCTTGTAAACTTTTCTTTCCCTATTTGTAACAAATGCAGAAATGTAAATTAATTTTAGTTAGGTAGGAATGTTGTCAAAATAAATTCATCATGGAGTGAAACTTATCAAAGGAATTATTTTTATTCTTAGGTCATTACCAGATTTTTTTTCCCAGCTACTCTAGGAATAAAGTTGACAAAGTAAAAATTTCTACTGAACAACGCAAAGTATTCTCTTGTTAGATAAACAAAAATATCACTAATAAATAAATAAGAATAGCCCCTGGTAATATTTCATTATTCTTATATATACAGAATTCGGAAATTCGGACCATTTCAATTTTAGCTGTCATCCCACTTTACTGAAATACACTATGTCTATCGAAATAATAAACCTAACCAACCTTAATTATGCATTTCATTAATAAATTTGGGGATAATTTCCTGTTCTTTGATAAAATTCAAATCTAATAGTTTTGCTAGATTACCAATACAGTTTTATTAACTTTTGATTTCCTTAGGGCAAAAAAATATTATTAAATATTTTTTGTCAAAGAGTTAATAATATGAAAAGTTATTTTCATATCGTTCAAGAATTTTAAACAGTTATTTTGTATTTATTAGTTTAATGAACACAATTTATTATAAAAAGAACACAATTTATCATGAAAGAAAATATAATTTATTAAAACATAAATCAGGGATGAGATTAGCGAAAAGGCAAAAAAGCTGAATTTCCACGATAGTAAATTTTACGCAAGTACAACCCTTTAATAATAAATTCCAAGCAGTTTAAGGTAATAAATAATGTGTTGACATACAATTGTGAACTAAT